CACTTTGACGAATATACATGAGATGTCAAACATATCAGCGTTTTGTTTTTGTTTTTGCTTATCGCATATTTTGTACGATTCTCCATGATGCATTTTATATACATTTCAGACATTAAAACAAAAATATTTGCCAAACAGAGAAAAACAGCATTCTGAAATTGATTTTTTTTTCATTTTTGATAATAAACTGGAAGTACTTATCACGGCTGATACCAGTAAAAAGGTTGGATTTGGATCATTTTATGTTGACAGAATTGTAAGAAGACAATCGGGGGCGGGGTAGGGTGTTGTGGTAAACACTGAAAGTCTGGGTCTTTTAAAAGACATCCTGAGTGGAATAGCTTTATTCTGCCTTAAAAAAAACTTGTTAAATCAACTGCTTCTTGAACAGATTGCATTTTCTGTAAATAATGTTTAGAACAGAACACGAAGTTCAGCAAAATGACAATCTTTTCGGCGATTTCATTTTCAAAAGTTGTACAATCGCATTTAAATACACAATATTACATGGATACATAATTACGACGGCGAATAAAAAGTGACAGTTATTTGAAACTAGATCTGGTTTACGAGAAGCTTAGGAACAAAATTAACACAGGATTAGAACGGATAACAAGTGTGTAAGAAATGAGCATGGAAACAAAATTGAAATAATAATTTTAACTTGCGGTGGGAGTTAGGAGGTGTGAATATAGATTACAAGAGCCTTAGAAACAGAAAAATTGAACAGGATTAAGGTATAAATGTAAAATAGTTAATTTTTTAAAAGAATTATAAATGTGAACAGGAAAAGCATGGAAACAAAGTTAAAATAACTGTTTTTATAACTGAAAAAATGAGGTGAATCGGATGAAGACAGAGGGAGTAGGAATCACACACACAGCGAACGAAAAAAGATTTAAAAGAAGAGAACAAAGAAGAAAAGAGGAAGCTAAGGGAAACTTACCGAACTAGGTCCATGGTAGTTGTAGAGGTTGGACTAATTTCTTCTGGACACACAGCTCCGGCTTCTGCAGTACAGAGAAGTCGGTAACATACCGCTTTTGATAGGTTTATGTTGACTTTGTAAGTCATTTTGAAAGAATCAGTTTAGATGCTGTGGGAGGTGTTGATCGGTTGTTGAATAATGGCACTTCTGATTGAACCGGTGCCTCCCCTTTGCAGCCCCGCTGGGTAGTGTTCAATAACACGTTTCGAAAGGACGCGCATACAACGACCTAAGTATCTAGCTCTGCACGCTTAGATGAACTGGTATATGCACATTGAATTGGTCATATGCAAGAGTTTGTCCTTTGCGTTGTTTCGAAGTATTGGACGGCTAGAGAATGTCACTCTTAGTGTTGCTGCAGGGAAGGTATTCTTTTAAGAGCTGGATATCCTCCTCTTCAGGATATCCGCTGCCAAATCTCCTTGAAATGCAGTATAGATACGGTGTTTTCTCTGGCACTGAATCGCATTTTCTCTTTTTGGTTTAGGTTTCATGTTCTTTTTCGATTGTACAGCTTTTGAAAATGAAATCGCCGAAAAGATATCTTTGCTGAACTTTGTGATCTGAAATAATGTTTAGTTCTCAAATAGAAATGTGTACGATAATAAATAGGAATCAAAAATATGATCCTTTTTACTACTGATCAGTTGATATAAATAGTCAGATACTACTTGTACCAGCCAGCAGTGCTTACATGCGCCCGAACTGAACTGATCTACACACCAGCCAGTGGCTTCTATCTTTTGAAATAGTTTACCCAGTGTGACTTACTTCAAATCAAGTCAGACCACTCAAATTCTGACTGATTTTGTCTAACTGGCTGAATGATCAATGGGCTTGACTTCAGGAATGCAGTTTTGATCCTGATAGTATAAAGGGTATGTACTACTGATGGGTCCCAAAGTGGAAAGAACACAGCCATGTGATACTCCTTGGTTTTCAGTAGATCATTATATAAAGTTAGTTTTTGACCAAAAATTGGCATTATTTAAATTTTCTATAGTTTGGTTTGTAAGGGTTAGTTTTCTTTTTACGGGTTGATCACGGATTGATATCAGTTAGAGAACCATTGAAAACAAACAGGCAGTACTGGACAGCTGTTTCATCTTAGTTTCGGAATCATCGGCACTACGCAACCACCACAGGGGGTTCGAATTCAGGATCTTCTCGTTTCAAGGCCTACTGCCGATGATTCCCGAACTAAGATGAAAAAGCTGTCTTCAGTGGTTCTCTAACTGATATCAATCCGTGATCAACCCATAAAAACAAAACTAATCCTTACAAACTAAACTATAGAAAATTAATCTGATGCTTGCTAGTGACTTGCTACAGGATGGAGTTTCTTGGAGTGCTACTGTGAAGTCGTGACCAGTTTAGTCCATCCAGATGTCAAGTGTGAGGATGGAAGTCTCACCTACAAAAAAGGTTGGAGTCGCGCTAAATCACCAAATGGCAGAAGTTAGAATTCATGGGCTGACCACTGAATCGGGTCCTAGTGGCTGCTAAATGATAAACGAGCTTGCCTTGTGACCGGAAGGTCCTGCATTCGAACCCCCTGTGGTAGGTGTGCACTGCCAATGATTCCCAAACTAGAATGAAACAGCAGCTTTCCAGTACTTCCTGATGTTCAGTTATTTAAATGTATGTTAAATGATTCATCTTAACATAGTGATCAAATTATTCCAGTGGACTTGCAATATCTGCGATCTAGATGTTTCTAGAGTCAATGACAGTTATTCCTTAGCTGAAATCTATATATATATATAAGTGCAAAACCTAATGAAAAGTAGTCTGAAAGAGCAGTCCTTGTTCCCTAATGAATGTTCTCAAATGTTTTCAATGGGTATCTTTAAATAGAGTAATGCGAAATCATGAAATTTACGAAAATATTATTTTCAGTGTATTTTCTTCGATTACTTCTTTTCAAACTATGAGTTTCTGCAGTCCAGTATTCAGAAGATTTGTTTCTCTGAGATTTATAAGACGTTCTAAACGAGATTTGCTGTAATTTTTGTTTGAAATTTTTCGTGGAGTAATTTCCTAATAGACGTTGCTGAAATCAGTGGTATTCTCGCATATGAGTTACCTAAATAGATATATTATAGGGTAAAAGAGTGTTAATAAATGTGTGTAAAATTTAAGCACTGTGATAGTAAGTAATTCCATATTAGTTTGTTTATTAGATATATCACACAGTCAGTGAAACAGTAATATTATTTTCTGGATGACACAGTTTCAAAAACAATTAATTATGCTTTATAATCATATTATAATTATAATCACACGACTCTGAAGGTTCAGTTTAATAGTTTTCTTTGTTGTCTCCTATTTGTCGTCGTTGAGGTAGTAGAATTCTTCAGATGTCTAGATGGACAAGTGTAGAATCATTCCTATTACACTTGATTGCAGTTGATTCGATAAACAAAGCTTCTGTTATTATTCTCTCCCTCCACCCTGCTGCCACATTGCATTTTAAGACTGTCATCTTATCCTATCCATCCTATTGTATTGTTGTGTGTAATCGGAAGTGGTGCGTCCTGCGAGTGAACTACTCTCTAGATTTCTCACCTTATTTGGGTTAGCTAATCTTGGTTTCCTTAGTTTTTTACGCTCCACTAGTCTGACTAACCCGGTTCCACTACTTTGACCTATGTTCCATAAAAGGAAAGAAACTCGAAAACCTTATACAGAATTCTTAACAAAGCAGGAAGGAATAAAAGTGGCTGGCATTCATACCCACAAACCCAATTAAAATCAAGCTTTGTTGGTTAGAGGATAAATCCTGTGGAGCCGAATAAGTAAAGCAATTTAGTTTATCTAATACTCTGCTGGAAGGATTGTTAGGTCAAATACATAGGTCAAACTAGTAGAACGATAACAGTCAGACAAGCTGAACATAAAATCCTAGCGAAATCTAGATTAGATCACCCGAATGAGATAAGTAATCTGGAGAATAGTTCAATCATAGCACTACATGCAATTACACACAACAAACCATACAATAGAATGGGTGGGATACGATGACAGCTTTAAAATCTAATGTAACAGGGTGAACTGAGGGAGAGATTGATAAAGGAAGCTTTATTTATTGAATCAATTATTAACACCTTTCCAAGATATCTGGAAAATTCTATTACCTTCACGAACAAAGAAAATTATAAAACTCAGGTTTCTAAGTTTTGTGATTATAATTGATATGATTATGAACAATAATTAATTGTGTTCGAAACTTTGTCATCCATTCTGAAGGATGGATCTAAATCGGCTCCCAGTTTAAGGATAGAAATTGAAATGAGCGACAATGTTAACCATTTCACTCTTTTGGAAAGCTGCATCTGCTCTAATGAACTGATTGATAGCGAAATCTTAGCATAAATACAAAAGGTTCATGCGGCATTCGCCAAATTACGTAATTTATAGCGTACACGTGATACCTGGATATTGATTAAGGGAAGTTGGTATGGCACAACAGTTCACTCAATTTTTCTGTACGCCTGTGAGACAAACGCAGTGTAAGCGGAAGAGTTTGGAAAGCTAAGCGTCTTAGACCATAAGTATTTTCATTCTAACTCCCTGTTCGGAGGTATAATGTGGTGAGTAATATTGAGGCTAGCCGTAGACTCCTAGGAATGGAAAGAAAGTCACCCTAAGGTTTTTTTGTAGCTGTACCTATGTAGTGCACGTTACGTATCCCAGGTGACCAACTTCCTCGATGAGCAATATGAGCTGACAAAAGATTAGGTTGGAAAAGACTCGCAATTGGTCAAATCTAAATCTCGAATCAATTCATGAAGTCTTTGACTCTTAGTTCGAACCAATCACATATAAGACTTTGGACTGTCTGGTCAGATTCCTCGAGTCACTAATAACCAATGGTTTGAAGCTGTTGACTACATGGCCAAAAGCGGTTCTCAATTGCTCTAAATGCTCATTTTTGGTGTATTTCTCATTAACATACAATTAACCTTTTGTTTTCATAACTAACCATTTATGTTTTCTTTACTTTATTTAGCGTCTACTAGAATCTACTCCAAAAGATTATTCTGATCATGCCTTATTAGTTGAAGCAGAAAGTGCTATACATCGATTAGCTTTAAGAGTGAACGCCGTACATGCTGCTGGAGAAGATGAAAATATTGTCGATGGTATCAAACTGATTGAGAGACTTTTAGCACCAGCAGTAAGTAGTTAGATGTTTGATTCCTTTTTTTGTTGTAAAAATAAAGCCATATCATCCGGTGAGATGGTAGTACAACGAATAGTGACACTTTCACTTTAAGTACAAATAATACACTCATGTTCACACAAGAGAAATCTAAAGATTATCCTATGTCAGTCTATCACTTATATGATTAGCATGGTTTCAACTATGCGCGGCACGAATGGCGATGTCATAGCTGGCCATGGTTGATTCAGGAAAGCAGTACATGCATTGATTTCGTTGAAATAATGTGTAAAGATCCAAGGCAATTAGTTGAGGCAACAAGATCCGGATTCTTTTAAACACCTATCTGAAATCAGTGCTTCCGTGTAGTTCACAGGCCTCAGGCACGTGTAACCGAAGGTGATTTAAACAGGCTACTGCAAAATTTCATCAACAACTGCCTTCCCTCAATAGTGACAATCAGTACAGGTCATCTAACGACCAGGGAATCAGAGAGCACAAAAAACCAGCCAACAAAATATTAAGAATAGAATATAGGTGACCAATAGTTCAGCGAAGAGATTCATTTTCTTAGCTGTACAATCGCAAATATATATATATATATGGGTTATTTTGTGTGTATGTGTACGTCTTTCGATGTGTATCCTATCAAAAAGGGTCAAAGAACACTATCCAGCGGTCCTTCAGAAATTAAATAGTGGTAGTATAAGGAGTGAAATAGTCGAACATCCCGTCAGTACTGGTCATTTAATCTCAACAAACGCCCCCTTCAAAGTAATCTACAAAGTGAAAAACAGCCTGTCAAAGACAATACGTTTCGAGTCTTCTTTTCATTGCAGAAGCTGTAGCCATTCAGTTAGAAGAACCAGAACTATGCATACAGAAGAAAATTATTCAGCCGATTAAACTATCATGGTAACAACTCTCTTGATCTGACTTAACTTTTACTTGTTTAGTTGTTTTTCTAAATATTTGAAACTCTTGTATTCCTTTAAAGATCCCAAGGTAATTCAGTGTTTTATTTTTTTTCTTTAATTCACCCTGAGCACATTTCTTTCAACGAACTCTTCATGTTATTACGTAACTCTTCTTTGATAATAATTCATGAAAACTCATCACTTTTGTTACCACTCTCTCTTATATGAGCATCCACTTCCTCTGAATACTTTTTGTATTACGTAAATCCACCCAAAACTTACTAATTTTCACCTGTTAAGTTAAAATAACCATAACTAATAGTATTTTTGTTTGACAAACTTAATGTACACATACGTACAAAATAACTCATATATATATATATATATATATATTTGCGATTGTATGGCTGATAAAATGAATTCGCCGAAAAGCGACTCTTCTCTAATTCCTAATCTCCTCTCCATTAATAGTTGAATGGAGGTTTTTCATTAACTAAAATAGAAGTGTTAAACTGAATTTTAGATTTTCCCCGTGGATTGATTGGACCGAAGTGCTCGGTCTCAGGTTGACATGTCTATCGGCTTCTTTTGCAGATGCTTCGATAATGCCTAGGCTTGTAATTAAAAGTTAATTGGCGGATGATGATAAGCAGTGGAATCCAGGATAAAGCGCATTTCATCCCATTTGGGACTCGTCAGCTAGGTGTAGTTTTTCACTCAGTGGGAACATCATTACTCACTGGGAAATGCAGGCACATCCAGCTAGTTGACGAGTCCCGAATAGGACGAAATTAGCAGCCTGGATTCCACTGCTAGTCATCATCCACCAATTAAAATAGAAGTGGACTGGAATTAGAGTGAAGGTGATGCGGAAGAGATTATGTGCGGAGGAATTGGAAGCTTGTGAGCAGCCGGTAAAGTTAAATGAAAGCAATATCGGAGAATGGAGTGACATAGTGGTATACTGGTGATGCAGGGACTCATTTTATATCTTACACATTATCCATGTATTATAAAATACACTTTCATTTACACTTTCATTTCTTCCTGTACTAATATACTATACATATATTTTTCTCTCTGAGTAAGCGGGTGTTAAGTTAACTTTATTAAAATGAAGCGTAAACATAGTAATTCCATAGTAGACGTAATTATTTGAGGTAGTACACAGTGAGACCTTATTATTCTTTGTGGGCATAACTGACGATCATGTCATTTGGTTTCACCAGTCGAGAAATTTTAAGTTTCATCATTTTGTCCAACTTATAGGTAGTTAATTTAATGAAGTAAAATGACTGAATTCGATGCGACTGATTCGATAAAAAGACCCGATATCTCACAGTCACTGAATGAATTATTCTTAATATTATCATTTCAATGTCTTTATCCAGGTGGTGAGCTTATATGAAGGTTAAACTTTCTAATTTGTGTCGCTAAATGAGCAGGATAAGTTATGCAGCATTGTAAATCCAATGTTGTTATGATGATCAGATGTATTCTTACTGTATGTTGTATTTTTGTTTTCCACCGATCTTTTCTGATCCTCCCACATCTTGCTAGTTACTAGAAAGATGTTTCGCTTAACGTTCTACACTAGGAAATTTGGGCAGTCTGGCATAAAGCAGTCCTTGCTTTCTCAGTTTGTCAATTCTTGTATTCTACCCATCCCCCTTTACTGCTCCCCATTAATCTTTCCTGGACTACTTAAGAAAGACTTTGCTTCGCTAAGAAGGGCACTAAAAGCCGTTAGTAGGGCAAGTGGGACATCGTTAAACCAACTGGTTAGCACTATTGTGGATAGACATATAATGTCATGTAAGAAACTAGCGAATACAATATTGTCGGACCCCGAGATCCTCTCTATACGCAGCTGTCTCCTTGCATTTCATCTGGTAGAACTGGAAGCAGCTATAGGAGTCGATATCCTAGGACCACCAAGTACAAAAACTCCACAATACCATATCTGGCACAGATGTTGTGTGATGAGATTTCTGTTAGGTTTGACACGATAAACTTACTGCAGCACTCTAACAAATAGTCCCATTAGATTTTGTTTTCCTTTCATCGTTACTATTGCACTCTTGTTCTTATCTTCTATTACAAACCGATTTTATACTTCTTATCCTGTGGTGAATTGTTTAAAATGTAAACGCAACGCTGTTTCTTTTTCTTTATCTTTTTTTGGGTGTTACTTTTTGATTTTAAAATCTTATAAAATTTATGACGTATTTAGATGCAATATATTGTAACGCACGCTGAAAATTCCATACCTGTACTACAAATACTGTGTGGAATAAAGCTGTTATTATTATTAAAAAAAATATTCCCTTGGGTGATCAGTGAAACATAAGACTTCAGCATTGAACCGAATCATCAATCTGCCCTCTGTAGTCATTTTCAGGTGACTCTACAGTCATCCATACACTTTCATCCCTTCCTCATATGATCTCTGCCAAGTCAGTCTCAGAATCCTGTTCATTTCATTGTTTCTACTTCGGGTTCCACTCGAAGGCCTTCCAAAGGTGTGTGATGTCCCTCACTGGTCCAGTTCAACTTCACCTCCTTTCGCATATTTACTGGGTAAAGAGTTGTTGGTTAGGTCGCTACGTTGCTTAATTTCATTGTTACTGGCTTATCCTTTCTAGTCCTCTGATTTTCAATATCGACCGAAGACTGCTGGTAAATGTCCTGAACCATACAAAAACATCGACTTCATATCGGTATTAAATATCTGAATCTTTTGTTTGAAAAATACTCTCTTCTGAGTAAAGTGTGAAACAAAATGCTAAAATAAATAAATCCAAGTTGAAAAAATTCCTAATCAGAGTACCATAATACTGTATCACTTTGAAATGCTGGAATATTAACAATATTATATCCTTATATTTGTAACTACTACTCTGATGGAATGATAACTAATACAGCTAGAATGTGCATTTTTGTTTGACTACGGGGAACTGACATGAATCGGTGGAGATTAGAATTCATGGGCTATCAGACTGCATCCCAGTATTTAACGGTCATTTGGATCATTGGATAACTTGGAGACTTCGGGTCCGACCCCTAGTTGATACTGCTGAAGAGCCGTTGACTAGGAGGAGATAGATGCACATTACTCTCAGGTTTCCAGGGGTTTTCTAACTGATGTTAGATCCTGATATAAACTGATTTAAAAAAAGAGTCAGACATGGAATCTGGCTGCAAAGATGGCTTAACGGTAAATCGCAACGCTTTCTCTTATCTACTACTCATGCGGTTTGGGGTTCGACTCCCAGCCAACGCACTCCCAAACCTCATTAAGCTGGTAATAAGACTAGTAAAGAAGGAAAGTTGAACGTGGGGCTAGCATCCCTACCCCGTCAAAATGAAACCACTGCTACAAAACTTCGTCGTTTAATCCTGAAACCTTATGTTCCACTGAGAACATAAAGAAATTAAATAAAAATCATAATATGGTTCGAAGCACCTATAGTTTCATCATTTACAAAAACGTTTCAACTTCGAAAAATACATGGAAGTCGAAAGTTAAGGCTTCAGAAACATTGATTACAAATACCGTATCTGTTGAAATATATATTGATTTTACAGATAGATCGGTATCCTGAATAGAACAAATAATTTTTTAGCTATATTCGGAAAAGTTGAACCACTGATTTAATAAATAAATATTTCAGGAGCTGTAGCCTACTTCCCTCCTACGTTTTTTCTAAAGTTTCGTGTGAACTTAATTGAATTTTAGATTTTCCAGCCGATTTATTGAACCGAAGTGCTCTGTCTCAGGTTGACATTTCGGCTTCTTGTGCAGATGCTTCGACGATGTCTGGGCATTTAATTAGAATTTAATTGGTGGATGGTGACTACCAGTGGAATCCAGGATAAAGCGCATTTCATCCTATTTGAGACTCGTCATCTGGACGTACCTGCATGATATTGTACAAGAGGTTGCTGTTGTTGCTCAATTGGTCTAGTGGAAAACGCTTTGAGTTTTGGAACTATGGGCACTTGGTTCGAGCCTCGGTGGGAACATTATCACTGATTACGGAATGCTGATGACGAGTCCGAAATAGGACGAAGTGCGCATCCACCAAATGAATTTTGTGTGAATTGTTTATATCCTTTTTGTCAGAATGTAAGCCATTATCATTGTTCTTTTCAATTTTAGACCCTCACACCAAATCGTCAATATGTTCGACATGATATTGTTTCTATAGAGGTAAGTTATTACATTCAACTTATCATAAGTGAAGCTTTTTAATGAATTTTTGTGAAACAGACACAGTTAAAATCTTCTGACTAGTTGTCGTTTCATTCAGTGAAGTAAATGATGGTAACTGATATTTTCCAAAATTTTACGAAACCAAAAACACACTTGAATGTTACCAACTTATCATTTTGAAATAAGCATTCACAGAAGCTGTTTTCAATCGCATGCCTTTTGAGGGGGCTTAAGGCATAAGGCTTAAAGTTTTAGGCTTGGAAGCTTCAGCAGTTCCTGTGTTGTTTTTACGGGATTGACTTGCTAACTGAACGCTCAGCCTTCCTTCTCTGAAGTGTGGTTAGTAATGCCTAAGCCAGACTTAGCAGTACACCGACCGTCAGTCAAACACGAAGCATGGGTTTGGTTGGCCAGCGTTTTACACTCTTAACACCGACGTACATTTGTAGACATAATGACACAAATATATGAATGAATAGATGTCTTTTTGTGGTATCGAATACCTTTCGACTTTAATATAGCTTACAGTAAGTTGAAACTGCTTGATACAATGCCACTGACATTCTTCCGAAAATATCTAAATGATGATGTAGTTACAAGCTCATCAAACTTTAATCTGTAAGTTTATTGTATATTACTAGTACTGGTGAAAGATAAAATTTAGATATGACAGAGAATATTTGTAGCTAAGATGGATGATTTTGATGTGGTTGTGTTCTCTGAGCTGGATAGTTAATTTGTGAAGCTTTCAGCGCCCAACTAGGCGACATCTTCAGCTCATACTTCAATTCAAGGAAGTGAGCCTTTCGAACACAGGAAGAAATACGCCAAACAATCGTGTCAATGGTCAAACAGAAAAAACAACACATACAACTCAACTCTCAAGAACTAAAGGCCCTCAAAAAGCTGAAAAATAGGAAGGACACCGTCATTCTACCAGCCGACAAAGAGAGAACAACAGTAGTCATGGACAGAGAAGAATAATTCGGTACCCGGTAGATGAGAGAGGAGGATTCTTCCATGCTGCTTTTGTGGCCGGTTAGGACCAGGTGGTCATATATTGAACTGTTAAAAACCACGGACATCAATTCGAATGGGACAACGTTCAAATATTAGACAGAGTAAACAAAAAGAATGCTAGAGACTTTTTAGAAGCTTGACAGTCCAGTGAATCATCAATCAATCTTCCTGTGTTCGAAAGTCTCCCTTCCTTGAATTGAAGTATGAGCTCAAGACGTCGCCTAGTTGGGCGATGAAAGCTTCACAAATTAACTATCCAGCTCAGAGAACACAACCACACCAAAGATAAAATTCTCTGAATTGTACAGTTTTCATAGCATAAGGTAAATTTGCAATCTTCTATTATACAGCCATAGGTATACACAGTCGAGTAATCATTTTCCTAGACATGTCATGTACAACATAGTGAATATATATGATGGAATATACTGTTAACTACATAACTTCTGAAGTGACCCTGAAGCTACAGAAGTTAGCAGAATTCCATAATAGTTCACTGTAGGAACTGCATCGGTGTCTCACTGGTAGAATGCCAATCGGTAATGTTAGTGACGCGGGTTCGACTCCATGTTACTAATCAAGTCCTAAATCTCCTCTAGCTGGAAGTAAGCCCAGTAAAAAGAGAAATCAGAGTATGAAGCTAGTAAACCCATCTCTTAGAAAAAACATTCCCTCCACACTGGAACTTTACAGTGGTAGCAAAAGAATGGAAAAAATGTCAAAGCAGGTAATATTTCATTCTTGTTTTTATCGGTTGCATTCCAAGTGGAACAAAGAGCTTCAGCAACACGTCTCCAGTGCGCTCGATTTTCTGGCATCACTTTCAAGTGAACTCTTGACTGCGCTTAATTTTCATTTTCTCTTCATTTCATCTCTTTAATGTCTCAGTGAAACGCCGGCTCATTTCTCCAATTAGCGTACCACTTGAGCACCTAGAGTGTGATGTCACATGAATTTCTCCTCCTACTTTGTCCAGTATATCTCCATTTACCTCCGCTTATTCGCCGAAGAATAGTTTATCTCCTAATTTTCAAAAGAACGGATACTGAACAAAGAATACTCTTTTGGATAACCCCTTCATCATCAGGCTTTACAGTTATATATACATTATAGTGAATGAATGAATTAGTGTTATGAACAACATTATTATTAAAAATGATAATATCAGTAGATTACAGTTTAACAGCATCAGCATAACACTACACTGAATACTAGACAGGCATATTAGGAAAGATATTAATACGAATTCACGAATTTATACTCCCCACTGAAGGCTAGCCAAGGTAGTAGTAGTAGTAGTGGCTGGACCAGCTTCTTTTGCCCAAAGAGCACCAGATGTCTCATGGGAATCGTGATGGCCTCTGCAGTTTGGAGTGTGCGTTACCTGGATATTTTGGAAATTTACTTGGTACCCGGTAGACGATAGAGAAGGATTCTTCAATGCTAACTGGCTTTGTGGCCGGCCGGTTTTCACCAGATGGTCAAATATCGAACTGTTTATAGTGTTTTTCACTACACCTTTACTTAGCCATACGGAGAGATGTTCTTAAGAGCACGAAAAATCAAGTTCCTAGAGCAACGGCCAATATAACTCGCTCCACAAGCACAGTTGAATTGGTAGATACAATTTGAAGTGACCAGCTAGTCTAGGTACTTCATCTTTCAGTCTAGGGATCAACATCGGTCTTTTAGAGAATAAGACGTGTAGTTCGCCAGCATTAGAAGGTCTTTGAACTGATTTTCTTAATCTCCTCGTAATTATCTCACTTGTTATATCGCCCTTGAATTGTAGTCGCATATAAAGTGGCTTCTTGTTTACAGATAGTGAGTAGTCCTATTCCGCTTTCTTCGTCATGTGTTTCTTGATAAATTTTCGGGATAGCTATTTTCCATCAAAGTATCATATACAATGCTTAATTCATCTTCAATTACTTCTTCTGAGCATACAGCTCAAACTCTGTAGCTCAGGGTTTTCACTAAATTTCTTTTGTACTTGATAGGAGCGAAGCTGTGAAAATGTGTATATTGTCCTGTCCAAGTACTTTTTCTATGCTAATTTCTTTTTATGCTACTATCTGTTTTTCTTGTAAGGAAGACATACAGGAAGGCGATTCTGTTTTGGAATTCTTCATCGCATGTGAATTTCATAGCCGAATGTACTTCATTGTATCCAGTTATTATTGTACTCTTATCCGAATCATCATCACAAAGAATGAAGGCGTCATGCATATGCCGGCAATAAAATGAGAACTTTATGATAAGATTTTTCAAAGGTTCATCTTCCAGTTTACTCAGAAAGCAATCAGCCAAAATGGGACCCAATGGGGAGCCCATCGCCACCTCGTACACACGCCTAATTACCTGCTAGAGTTCTTCGATTAGTTTACTAGGAGTTGATCAGTCCAGAAAAGATAAAAGATTGAGTGTTAAGCTAAAAACTTCACACATTTTGTTTTTTAATTGCAATTTACGACAAACACCACGTTACTTAAGGAGAGGATTGTGCAAAATCACTTTCGGTAGATGAGTTTTCACACAATTCGAAGTAACTACTTATGTGTGACTCTCTGAACGTATCGCAGGCATAATGATATAGTGTAATTCAAATACTTTCAGAACTGACATAAACCTTCGTAGCTTACTGTCAAAAAACTGGGACTATTAACCAAATATAAGACTGTAAAACTTTTGCTTCCAATCAAATATATTGTGTGTCTGCTAGCCACAATTGGTAGACAGCAATTTACGTCAATGTTCACGTCCCAAATCTTGGTCATGAGAAAAAAACAAGAGCAAAGTCTAACTCAACAACCAATCTCAGCAGACTTTGCGTGGGCAGATACGTGTCTGACCTTCAAAGAAATGGCACAAGAGATGACAGAATACCTTCCAGCGAGAAAACAAGCAATCAGAAGCCGCTGTTTCTCTACTGACAATAACGATTAATAATGTACATAAAAATCTATAAATATCTGTTGATTTTCTCAATAAGCGAAGGCTCTTGTCTTCTGTTGTACAGTACTACATTATAGGTATTGATTGTTTTTTTTACATTTTAGGAACGCAAAGATCCTGTCTGCCTATTCATGTTTACAGATCAAATTGTTTTTACTGTGGCAAGACGTAGAGGAAGTCAAGTTATCAAAAAGCCGTTATTTCTCCGCCTGTATGCTAAAGTAGTTTATAATATTGTGATAGCTGTTCATTGTGTTTATGTTGCGTTGTGATTTGTCCGATATCAATTTTTTGGTGAATTCAGGGACACCATGACTGTTTTTGTATTCCTTCACGTTCTCACTGGAATATGGGGTTTCAAGCTAGAGGCTTGAAGTTTCTGTAGCAGTGTTTATTTCAACAGGATGGGGTTTCTATCCTCATACCCAATCTTTCCTCTTTAGCAGTTTTATTTCTGGCTTAGCGAAGTAAAGGAGTGCATCTGTGGCCGGGGATCGAACCCTGAACCATGCGCATGGTCGGCGAGCGTCCTAACCGCTATGCCACCGACACCATGACTGTGCTTATGTCTACATATACTACTTCATAGTCATATTTCTTTGCTCTAATGGCTTGTGCCAAAAAAATAATAATTCTTAAACTGAAAGATCACTGTCGCCTTTGAACTAACTGATTGAGCGGTTTAATTCGCCTGTATTGTAACAAATGATTGCAAGACAAGGTATATTTTCAAGTGATCACGCAGCTATTTATATCTATGCAGTTAATATTCTGTAACTAATCACTGAGCGTGTGATTTTGGTTTACGTTAAACGATATGAAATACAATGTTCAAATACACATATAGTATTCTATCGCTAATGAGAATAATATTCCGTTGGAAGCCATTGTCTGTATCACACCACTACAATATGCGCTATCGACTATATACAGTTGGATAACAGTTTACAGTTTGGACAAATTTGTCATGATCAGTACCAATGGACGAAGAGGAATACACCAAGAAAGCTGAAGACTTGCTCAAAAATAATGATGTACATCATTAGTTTGCAACAAATGGTATCCAAACTTTAGACACTGGAATCCAAAGGATCCTAAAAAACTTGCCAGAGACTGTTTTATTCGTATATTACATTTGAATCAACCCAAGCAAACTAAATATTCATCTACAACCACTTATCTCATTTATAGAAACCCTAACATAAAATTTATCCAAACTAAAATATTTAACAAGTCTAAATGGACCCACACAAAAACCACGACGATCTAGAATTCGCCGATGATATATGTCTGAAACCTCACAAACTGGAAGATATGCAAGTGAAGGCGAACAAGTTCGCAGAGTAAACATCAAAGATAGGACTTCAGGTGAACGTAGATAAAACAGAGTGATGAAGATTCTGGCCAACACCAACAGCAACAACAACAACAGTAAACAATCAGCATAAATGGGAGACATCTGAAAGAAGTAACCTCCTTTACCTAGCTGGGAAGCATCATTTTTGAAATACAGGAGGAACTGACGAAGATATCAAATCAAGGATCAGAAAAGCAAGACAAGCTTTCACTACTCTCATGTCTGTGTGGAGGTCAACAGCACTGAGCACAAAATTAAGGTGCAGATTTACAACTGCAATGTAAAGTCAGTGCTACCATACGGATCAGAGACTTGAACTGCGTTTCACAAAGAGCACGTCAAAAGCTGTCTTCGCTCAGTACTCAAGATTATATGGAAAGAAAAGATCAGAGGCAGGGAATGATCTCTGGCAATGAGCAAACCAATACAACTGGAACCGATTGTGCAACCAATAATTAGGAAAAAATGGAGGTGGATTGTCATACTCTGAGGAAATCATCGAGTGACATCACTAGACAAGCCATCGCTCGAGTGGAACCCGAAAGGGAAGCGGCGAGTTGGTCGTCAGTGCGAGGGTGGGTGACATGGATAAGGTCATGTGAAGAGGAGATGAAAGCATGTGGGCAGACTTGGAGCCAGGTGAAAACTTCAGCAGAGAACCGAACACAGTGGAGACGTGCAGCTGAAGCCTTTTGTTCCTCTAGGAATTAAAGGAAATAATAATAAAATACTTAACAGATTCCTGTTAAGTTCATCGAAATGTCAACTACGTTTCTAGAGAAAATCAAAGGTATTCAAACAGAGGACCTGGATATAATGTTATCCCTAAGTATCACAGCATTATACACATAGAATCGGTTAGAATTAGCAAAACCATTCATGCACAGTATACTTAGCAGTGTTGGATACCTACCTGAGTACTCGAGAAAACGATGCATAAAGTTATTTTGTTGACTTTGGCAGCATAATCAAACATGGAGCATTCAAAAAGGAAAAGGTCTTCATAACGGCTGAACAATGCAACAAATACGAAACCAGATATTGGGTCGTAGTTGAACTCGCTGAGACAATCTGAGATACTTTCATACTAGTCTGAATGAGATGTTGACAGAACTTGAATGGACAGCTTATGAGTAAGAGCTTCGATTAGTTTTAGTTAAGCTGTTTCATTTGGAACTTGCGGCTGCAGCTGAAAGATGGATTTGAGATCATCCAGGGAGAATTTTGAATTCACTGGTCAAAAATATAAACAGCAGAAGGAACACCTATGAGATCATTCATATCGGGACTGATTACTGAAGCTATTGTGCAACGACTTGAAATCAAATTTCCACCAAAAATCAAAACCACAGTTTGAGAACATGGATTTCATTACTCGGAATAACTGATGGAAACCATTTAGAAAAACATTGACAACCTAATCAGTACTGTTTTCCGTAATATCAGGTTTACAAGAGAAGAGGAATCCAAGTATAAAATTCTATTTTTAGATGTCTAAGTCTAGTGAGCGGGCATAAGAAAATTAGAAACTTATTTATTCAGAAAACCAATTCATACAATTCAAATACTTAATTATAACAGTTTCCAACCAACTGCTTTACATGGGTGGTTGCATGCATGAACTATGCAGAAGAGCCAGGGTGCACTGGAGCACTGCAACCTTGAAAGGGATGTGTAGAAATGTCATGTGACCATTTGCCAGAAAAATGGATATCCAGAAAATTTCTTCAAAAGATGTCTTCCTCCAGCCAAGTCAAACTTTTCAAAAGTATCCAATGAAAGCACTGAAACTTTCTGAAATTACCATCGTCTACAAACCAACGAAATCTCTTTCATCTGTATTATATCAACCCGAAAATTTGCGAGAGCGGTGAAAGCGAAAATCAATAATTGTGAAAAAGATTATACATACACTGAACAGAGTGGATGTCTTCTTCATCTTCGCATGCATGAGCATAAATTGTCCATCAAAATACATGACATCCATTCACAAATATCAATGCATACAGATAACTATGGACACCAATTCGATTAAGGACAGATTGTCTATAAGCAGGTCTAAATCTTATTGCAACTGATTTAAACAATATTGGCGTTCTACTTCCTTAATCAAGAAAATAAGTCATAAGTCGTGACCAGTGATGTTCACCAAGTTCGCCACAAACAGTATCCAAATATTACACACTGGAATCCAAAGGACCCTAAACAAACTTACTAGAGACTGTTTTATCCTATACTACAGTTGAACCAATTCAAGCAAGCTAAATATTCATCTACAATCACTCATCTCATCAAAATGTCAAATAAGTTTCCAGATAAGATCAAAGACATTCAAACAGAGGAACTAGGTATGTTATCCCTATGTGTCACAACATTATACATATAGAATTGGTAAAAAATTAGCAAAGCAACCAACCGCTTTACATAAATGATTACATGCAAAACCTACGCAGAAGAGCCAGGGTGCACTGGAGCACTGTTACTTGAGAGGGACAGGTAGATATATCATATGACCATTTTCCAGAAAATTCCTTCAAAAGATGTCTACCTCCAATCAAGTCAACTTCTTCAAATATATCCAATGAAAGCACAGAGAAAACTGTCCTACTATATATGAAGAACATTTATGAAATAAATGCAAATCTTTCGGACCATTTTTTGAAATTACCATCGTCCACAAACCGAGAAAATCCTTTTCATCTGTAGTATGTCAACCCAGAAATTGCAACATGGGTGAAAGACTAAACCAACGACTGTGAAAAAGACTATATGTACATTAAATAAACTAGACATCGTCTTCACCTTTTCACGCACGAACATAAAATGGCTGTTAAAAGACATGACATCCATTCGCAAATTGGTTGCTTACAATCTTACTGTCTAAATCCTTAAGTATTGGTTTGTAGGGATTTCATTGAGTGATTGCAGGATTTCTCCATGACCTGGAAAACCTAGGAGTATTGGGCAGCTGTTTTGTTCTAATTTGAGACTCTTCATCAGTATGCACCCAGTCTAAATTTATTTATTTATTTTATTTTTGATTTACAGCTTGGTTCCACACCGTATTTTGGTACAGGTATGGAATTTTCAGCGTGGATATCGGTAGCCCGAAATTCGCAGGCCGACCATAGATATCATGTGTGCGTCGGCGTGGGCTCGAACCCCGGACCATGTGCATGGTAGGCGCGGATCCTAACCACTGTCCCACCGACGCAACCGATTTAAATAATAATAGCGTTCCATTTCCTTAATCAGGAAAATAGGACTGCTATCTATTTAAATATTAGTTATAAATTTGCCTTCGAAATATTAATTGATATATATTCTCTTAACTGTACCGGCGACTTCATCAGAATCACTCAATCAATATGTAAATTAGGCATAAGCTAAATTGACAAAAAAATAAAAATAAAATAATCTTCCACATTCATGGTTATCATTTGGCGCCATAAAACCTATAAACCTTGCTTTCTGGTTATTGAAAAACAGAACACATAAAATGTGAACCTAAAACATTTACAAATATTTTGATCTTTTTGTGTATCTCCACTCTGTATATTCTGAACTCTCTTTAAGTTAGTCCTTGTCAAACATTTTTCTGTGTCATGAAATTGTACAGAGGTGGTTGGGGAGACGTGAATGAACCTATGCAGTATTTGCACAATATATTTCCCTCGGGGTTTTAAAAATGTTCAAATTATTATTGATATATGTTATTATTTGACTGTCGTTGCACAAGAGGCGGCTCCCATGGCCTAATGGTCTAATTGTTAACTCGTTGGCATTTGAGTGCTGGAATCTTCAACTCTTAGTGAGGACAGCATCATTCACTGAGTTAAGTGTACATCTTGCGGATGAGTCCTAAAGAGGAGGAGAAACGTCGTACTGATTTCACATTTGGTGATCATCGTGTAAATGATAAAGATTAGCGTTAAGCAGTTCTGATTGCAACGATCATTCAAATTTAATTACACTGGTAACTGACCTGTTCATGTGTTGATCGGCACTCTAAAAGGCAGATGGACTTCTTATTTAAAATTCTGGCTTTTAAATGGTCATCTGAAGCGTTTCCAATAGGCCGCCCTAGGAATTTCATTCACACCCGCCTTCACTTGACAATGAAGATTAGTCGGTCGATCAGAATGAGAAATCAGTGAGGAATTTTAGTAATGAAGCTAAACAGACAACAATCTATCTTCCAACAAGTACGCATATATATCTGACAAACACTGACGAGATTGCTGAGTAAAATGACGTACCATACAGACCCTCAAGTAGAACCTGAACGAGTAAAGACGAAATGGCCGTTTCCCTGAAAGTAACATGAAGGAAATCATGTGAGAGCGAATTAAAAGCTTATGAGTAATAATCGATGAGGCTTCTGTAATGAACTACAGAGAAGCGAGTGAAACACAGATGTGCTCTTGAAGCCACATGCTTCACCAGGATTCCGAGAAAATAACAGTAGAATAATAACAATATTGCTCCTTATAGTATGGTCTCTATCACTAACACACAATACTACCAGAAATTCGTGATACCGATCACTTTAACTTTGCCAGACAATTCCTTGTTCTCTAATTTGTTCCATTATTTCATCAACGACAAACCTCAGAGACAGTATAAAGATCTGGTTCCTACATCTCTGATTTTTGAAAGAGTAATAGAAATTAATTTTGGAATACTGTATGGGGATTTTCTTTCAAAACGCATAACAAATCACCGTTTGATTGATATGAAACTGACTATTTAAAGATTTTTTGTCTCTTAAAATAATTTCCTTTTATTACAGACAATCTATCCGTGGTGTGGATGCTATTGAAAATATCAAGTATAAGATATATCATCGCTTGAGTATTGAAGCTATAGAACTTGAATCACGTGAGTTCAGAGAGTATTGTCAAAATAATAAATGTCCTAGTGTGTTTACGAATTCCTTCATATAATGGTAGATACCGATGTTAATTAATAACTTAAAAGTAGGCTAAGGACATAAAAAAGATCCCGAAAGGGTAGAGCTGTAAAGATTACACGAATCTATTCAAACAAGTCTCTATCAAATGTTTAAAAGAACTAAAAGGTCAAATGGCTTTATTTCCATAAGGGTAGAATTTATGTTCTGTGGTAAATTATAATGCCATTAGTACTATTATTATCCCGTTGAGTTTCTAATGGAAGATCGCGCTTCAGTAACACATTCTCTGCAGTCTCCTTTAGCTGATACCATGATTACCAATAAGCTTTGATCTCCTTCGTACAGGATTTCATTCATGTCACCTTCGGACGTCAAACTTGCTGCTTCCTATTAAAGTATTACTTGAGGACATGCATGGCACAAAGGGTCACCTGACGGTCTACTCAGAATGTGTCCAATTCATCTCCATTATAATCTCGTCATCGAGTAATTTTATTTGATGTGAAACACACAGTGAGATAGTAAAACGCTTTAAAAAATATTGAGTTGATTAATCACTAGGGAGTATTTAATGGCTGGTGACTAATCAAAGTATCCATGACAGTCCTACAGGCGGTCAGTCATCAGGCCGAATATCTCAGTGGTAACGTCACTCACTACAGCACTGGTGACATGGGTTCGAATCACAGGAAGAACAAGAGTTCCTTCAAAGTTGCAGGTACTCTGATTGGACACTTTTTAGCATCTAGTATCATACCTCTAATCCCTGGCGATGGTCCGGACTGAATTCCATATGTTAAATTTAAAGACAGATCTTGCCGATGAAACTTATTTCCACGACTTCTTGACGGTCACCTCTAACGATCTAATATAGTAAAAAATAATAATACTATAAAATTGTGTGTTCTTATCAAATAAACAGTCCCTCTGTGATGCAATGAAGAGAACCGACCAACAACAGCAAGCAGTAATCACAATCAAAGGAGAAGATTTGAAAGAGTTCATTTTCTTCACCTATCCAGCCAGGCAGCATCATTTAAACTACAGGCAAAGAGGATGGAGATGTCAAAGCCTTCACTGGCTCCATATTACAGACCAGATGATCAGCCAGAAAAATTTAACAACAATAAACTATTGGAACCTATGGCTTAACAAATATATGAGGGAAAATAGAAATGGAGTGGACACAAGCTGAGGTGACAGTTGAATGGCATCGCACGCCAGTCCATAGCTTGAGTGCAGTCCGAGTGGGAAGCGAAGAGGGCGCCTTCTGGAGGTGATATAAAGAAGGTCGTGCGAGGAGGAGATCAGAGATTATATGCAATCGTGAGGCCGTCTAAAGAGGACAGCAAAGAATAGGACAGACTAGGGTTGTGTTGTTGTAACCCTATGATCGATTTGGAACCCAAATGAACAACAGTAACAGTAATCTGTGACGCATTTGTTTAAGCGTGAGATCTACATTTCCATTTACCGGGTTATAGTTTCTAGACCCATTCACAACCTTACACCCTTACCTGGCCAACAGCAGGTTAAGCCAGGCACAGGAATCCGTCGGCTGGGGTTCGAAACCAGAGTACATGCCTGGTTGGTAAGTATTCTACCAATGAAAAACAGACTTGGTTGAATCATTATAAGCTCATTAATTGGTGAACTCTGAGATGACATTTTCAGGACTCAGTTATTTTAGATAACTTAAACGGAAGAGTATACAAAGTTTTAACTCATGATTGTTGTGATTACTAATATTCTTATAGCACTTTATGTGTAGATATAACAGGCCTAACAGAGTTAAGATGATGAGTAGTAATTGTTAGTTTTGCCTTGATTAAGTAGGCCATCAAGTCACCATTCAGGACCAGATCATGCACCTGATACATCAGTGTTTCGTTGGTAGAATAATCGCTAAATATGCACATGGTGTTGGTTAAAATCCCAGATGAATCACTCTTTAAGATCTCTTAGTTTACTTAATAGCCAAGAGTAAATCCAGAAAAGAGGGAAAATTGAGGGTAGATTTAGTGATCCCACCTGTAGAAACAACACTGCCACTACTGAAACATCAGTGCTCAAGCTTGAATCCCTATATTCCACACGGAATTATTAGTTCGAAAGAAATCAGAAATGTAAAGGTGATCTCTATACCACACACGTCCTAAGACAACAGTTTATAAATGAGAAGATGCCTACGATTCATGTCACCAACAGGTTTTGCCATGAAAAAAGAGACTAGTCCACTGACAGTGTTCATTGTGACACAGACGAACATGTTGCCCATTTCAAATCACATTTACGAAGCACGATTACTCTTCCCTTTGTATTTTCTTTCTTACACATATACATGTGAATTGCTATACATTAAGCGATGTGATGTAATTGTGTGGTTTTCCAACAATAATAAGTCCTTGTGCATCATCCATTTTTAAGATTGTTAGATCTTAGCCTCAACTTCAAAAGAGTTTCAAATAGCATTGCTGCGCTTTTGTTCCGCATCACTAAGTCTCTCAGTCGACCATATAACGTAACCACTTCTTATACTCAGGTATTTAGAAAAAAAATTTTATTTTTTATTTATTTTTTATTTTTGATTACAGCTTGATTCCACACCGTATTTTTGGTACAAGTATGGAATTTTCAACGTGGATATCGTTAGCCCAAATTTCGCAGGCCGACCATAGATATCAGGTGTGCGTCGGTAGGGGATCGAACCCCGGACCATGTGCATGGTCGGCGAGAGTCCTAACCACTGTGCCACCGACGCACGATGTTAGGTCACAGTACGCTGCTACACATTGTGTTCTTGTAGTATTTAGGTAATTAAATGATAACAAATTTAAAGGAACATTTCTTCACGTACAGCTAAAATAGGCGTGTTACTAAGTCCTACTTAATAATTCATACTAGTTGTTGGAAATTACTCACTGCTCTGAATCAATACTGTATACCATCATGTCTTCTAGATCGTCATTTATGATGTGACAAGCTGATCACGTAGTGTGAGCATTTGAATTTCGGTTTCCAGAGTGGACTGGTGTGAACATTCCCTTAGATTTGCAAATGGCGAATAGGGCTCTGTCTTTTGGTAAAATCTACTTAAAACAAGAACTCAGATTGTGACAGAGATGTTTAAGTAAAGCTTCTATCATCACTCATAACAGGCAGAAATCCTATAGCAGATTATTCATTGTTATTCAACTTATTTCAAGGCTCTCAGTATCGAGTTGTTGATATAGTTGCCTTCTGTGGGTTGGATAGTTGACTTGCTTAGTTTTTTATTATCCTCATAGAAAGCACTTTCAATGAATACTTGAATTCGAAGCTTCCCAACTAAACCAATAACTTCAGAGAAGACGACTACACCAACGTTATCTAATTTAGCTACAGGTACGCAGTTAGTTATACGCTGCAATTTCTCCTGCTGGCTTAGTAAATTTGAAATCATAGTTGTATCAAAAAGTCGAATAAAGAGAAGTTTTCATACCATCTAAAGGCTTCTTCTTATTTTGACCGGCATAGTATATTTATGGTATGTAGCGCAGAAAATAGCAAATACTGCCCGACACAATGACACAAATTAAAATACTTTGAGGTTTGTGACTTCTGAGTACATAACAGTTAACTTGGAAACCTACAGTTTACTTTGCCTTGAAGAGAGGAGCTTGTATTAAATTCCCTTATGGTAGGGAATTCAGATGTATAATTTTGAAATCGAGGCTGAGATCTGTCAATCTTAGAAGGAATAATGCACTAAGGCTTATTATTGTTGGAAAACCTTACCACATGCTCTACCATATGGAAAATGCAAAGGGAAGAGTAGTCGTGCTTCGTAAATGTGATTTGAAATGGGTAACATGTTCGTCTGTGTCACAATGAACACTGTCAGTGGACTGTTCTCTTTTTTCATGGCAAAACCTGTTGGTGACATGAATCGTAGACATCTTCTCATTTATAAACTGTTGTCTTAGGACGTGTGTGGTATAGAGATCACCTTAAAATTTCTAATGGTCTTCGAACTAATATATAATAAATATCACAAACAACTTTATAATCATTGAAATTTTAGAAAATTAACTTCGAATTTTTATCACTACTTACTTCATTATCATACTACTTACAGGAATGACATTGTGTCGTCTTGCACAGCGTATTGTTGCAAGTATTCTCCTGAAAAGATACTGTAAGCTACGTTTATAGAGAGACTACTGTAATACCAACAAACTAGAATAATATATATCTGCATGTTTAGTTTGGCCTGTAGTAGTAATGTGTAGCAGAAATATGTGTTGATTGATTGAGTAGAATAGCTTAGGGTAGAAGTGTATATATATGTATTCATAATAACCTTTCTGAACACACCAATTTTAAGTAGCCAGGCAGGAGGACATGATAATCTCAATATTTTGATGCTGTTTCTCGAAGTGAATTCCCTAGAGTAGGTGCACATCAAACTGTCAACCACACGAGAATAAGTCGCGACGATAAGATCATATCCTCCTGGCTAAACCAGATGACGCGGGAGTCGAATTTCAGACCTGTTGATTGATATACAGCTAAATATTTGACTATAGGACAAAGATTTAACAAACAGATCAGTTGTCTGAATATATGTCAGCGCATCTCATACACTGTGGCAGACAGAATATGTCTTCTTTCATGTTGATATCGCTATATTGTGATAATTGTAGTTGGCTGTCTTGTTCTAGAGCTGATGATAAACTCAACTTCAGTGGCCAGCATAAATACCAAAGAGATAAATGTTCCTATTGAATAAATATGCGTAGAATGCTTACTAAGCATGCCAAGGATCCATATTCAATTCATGATCGACGAATTCCTAAAAGATATCTCGCCATTATAAAACTCCAGATAAGAAAGAAGGCTGGAAACGAGGCGAACAACCTTAATCCATCAAAAAAACCACAGCACCTCGACAATACTTGAAGCTCTGTGTACCAGTTGAAAATCAAGGGAATCAACATGAATTTGGTTACAAACTTGAAAGCACTGAACCAGGAATATTCCTATCGACAGCTTCTACATTAGGTTTCTAAATTATGTATGGAAAATAAACAAGGCACAGTTGACTCTGACAACACTATTATTTCATGATTAACCGCGTCGGTGCATAGCGGTTAGGACACTCGCCAACCATGCACATGGTCCGGGGTTCGATCCCCGGCCGACGCATCCTTTTACCTCGCTAAGCCAGAAATAATGCTGATAAAGAGGAAAGGTTGGGCATGAGGCTAGCAACCCCATCCTGTAAAAGTAAACACTGCTGCAGAAACTTCAAGCCTCTAGCTTGAAGCCCTATGTTCCACTGGGAACGTGAAGGAAAAAAAACCGCAAATCAATAAGATCAGGATTCCAAGGCGTGTATTTGAATAGCTTGTTACTAGATTGAATTTTAAAACGTATGTATGAACTGGTAATGCGTATAAATTTAGTGATAAAATGAACGTCAGCTGTTCCTCTTATAGAGGAATGACATTTTAGCCTCTACTATGATCGAGATATCTCCAAGGTATTTTGGCATCTTGAGAGTTTGGTCAAAATTTTGGTGTGATTAGTCGCCTGGCCATGAAAATCGAGTGAGGGGTATGTTGAGAAGAGTCTTGAATGCCTGTGTTAACAATCGTACGAAAGCTTGATTTAAATCTTTCAGGTGACCTGTGAGGGGATTAATGTCAGCGCTAGCCTACTCGGGGTTGATAACCTTTAGGAATTCGCCGGTTTATTGATGGTTATGGGTTGTATTTCCTAGTAACGGTGAGGTCATTAACGCAGTTTGCTGGCACGACCTCCATTTGCACGGACAGGCAAGAGTCAGTGTACCACTTGTGATTAAGTGGGATAAGCTGAGCCATCAGAGTAACCATCTGTTGCCTGTGTACCTGGCCAATAAATACCCCCCCCAGCTAATCGCCTACATATTTTAAACCCAAGAAGGGGTATATGACCATTTCTTGTACAAATGGATGCATTTTGGCTACTGGTAGCTCTGAAGTGAACCAGGGTTCATGCGCCACAAAGTTGGCCTGAGGGGTGAGTCACTGGGAAGTATCATAGGCATTCAAGGTTCCCATCTGAACTATTGTAGGAGTTATCCTATCCTCCAGGGCAATGGTTGCATGCAACCTACAGGACAGTTTCGCATTTTTGAGAGTTGTCGGACTGGAAATTGGGGTACTAGTCAACACCAACCAAATAAGAAAAATTTAACAGGATGCCAAGCATAGGGTGATTGTTTTTATGGCGTAAGCGTTCTAAGATATTCTTTCTCCGACTGAAATAGTGATTCAGCAGGAGGTTTAAAGGAGAAGAAGCTCAGTACCTGCTACTCTGTCTGATGCCTGGTCAAAAATGTATATAATACCCTTAGAATATAGTACTAAACTGAACGCCAGATATCTAAATAGGTGATCATAAATAGCAATGTATATATCTAGTATTAAATGCTTATGATTATTAGTCGAAATCAGTTTTCTTCCTAAACAAAATTAATCTGTGATAAGACCAAAAACAGGTGGGGACGATTGCGCAGACGTCTGTGTGGAGTCCGTGTGTGTGCATAACTGAATAACCAAGGATCTTATTTCCTCCCTTTTACTCCTCTGCATTACCACTAGAACATAGGGCTTCAAGCTGCTTGAATGGTTCAATAGTAGTTGTTAAGCTTCTTTCACAGGGTGGGGCTGCTATTTTCTTTACTTAATACGGGGCAGTTAACTAGATGACGTTAAGCAGTGGGTCAGTGGTCGGGAATCGAATCTGGAATCAGAAGCGTAGTTGATGAGCATTCAACCGTTGAACCACTGACGCATACAACCAAGGATAGATAAGAATGCAAAAGATTACTGATATATTATTTGAGTACTTTTTGTTTTAATGTGTCTTAGACACTTCATTGTTAATTTCTGTAACAAATTAGCTTATAGCATGCATATTTTGTTTTCATTTTATTCTATGTATAAATTTTATGTATTTTATGTATCTTTTTCTCTTCATTATGGGAGATAAAATACTTGCCGAAGACATCGGCTAGCGGTCACGCTATATCGTGAATAGACAGAAGTTAGAATTCATTAGCTGACCATTGGATTGGGTCCCAGTGGCTTAATGGTATACGTGCTCGCCTTGTAGCTAGAAGGTCCTGGGTTCGAACCAGTGTGGTGGGTGCCGCTGAAGACTCCCAAACTAGGACGAAACAGCTGTCCGGTACTCTCTGCAGGTTTTCCAATGGTTCTCTAACTAATGTCAGCTCATGATGAAATCTTGTAACCAATCAACCAAATCCCTACAAACCAATACTTGGATATAAAATTATCTCCCAAAGCTTTTTTACTTATTTTTACAATAAACCTATTAGAATCCCTTGAAAAGTACTTGCCATAAAAGTAAGATATAAATCCTTTTCAAACTGAAATAAGCCAGATAGAATCATAATGACTAACAATCTGCAAATTACAAAGATCGAAGTGAAAAGTTACTGAGGTTAGGCTTAGAATCTTAAAATATTCACAACGTATAGTATGTGATCTGCTTGATGCCGCAGACGTCAATCAAGAATGTCGATAGGGATTATATGCCGGTAACTGATGAGCAGTTGGATACCATTTTTGATGGGTATTAGGTGTTTGGTCGGTTTGCTGCACTGTAGAGTTACTTTCGGATAATCCTTTCTAGCTAGCCGTTTGATAGCCAGTTTAGATTGAAGGAAACTGTTGGTAAACGTCTGAAGTCTGTTGAAAGTGCTATTCTTGACACGCGAAGTCTCTATGGTCATAGGAGTCAGTTATAAGAATGCTGTTATTATTTACTATTGATTTCTTTAGTTCCTAGAGGAACATAGGGCTTCAGCCACACGTCTTCGTTCCATTCGCTTCTCTGACAACCTGAAGTCCTATCTTCTGTGGATGCTTCTCCTGCCAAATTTTTGCCTTTCATTAGCATATCTTCCAGTTTGTGGGAAATCAGACATATATCATTGGTGAAGTCCAGATCCCTCAAGTATTTCGTATGGGTCAATTTTAAACCTGTCTCTTAGTCGCCCGCCTCTATCTGTCACATTATCCAGTCTACCGCATTCAGGAAAATCACTGGAGGTATTAGGCGGCCAGCTAGCCTTGTCTTACTCCTGTCTTCACTTCGAAGGATTCTGTGAGATTCCCGTTGTGGATTACTTGGCACGCAGAATCGCCGTACAACTGTTGGATGATATGTATTATTGCTGGTGGCACCCTGCAGTATCGAAGTAGTTGCCCATTCACCTCTTCATCGATGCTGAGCTATCGAAGACCTTTTCAAAGTCAATGAAGTTGGAAGAGATAGAGGGCTGACTGCCATTTTGAAGCTCTATTCAACGATGATCAGAATGATAAGTGAATGTAAATCTGTTCACCTCTGATTTGTATAGATCTATAGTAGATGAAATTGCATACACTTATATTACAGCTGAAAGAAAAACCTCTATGTATATCATGTTGACTAATTTTATTGGACTGAAAGTTCGATCTCTGTTTGTTATCCACCAAAGATGCTTCATCCATGTTTGAAGGTTATCATGATGTTATTTGGTTGGTGATTAGAACCAACATTAGAACCAGTAATACTGAGTTTATTCAACTGGTGATTCACTGGCTGGATAAACTTCCAATCCCACTATATGATAACTCTCCCAAAAACCCTAAAATCATCGTTTTAAATGCCACAGTGTTGCCGAACAAGCCACATAAGTTAAATCTTTTGTTAAAATTGATACTTCAGCGCTTGTAACGATGGTAGAAGAACACTATCAGTCACTCAGATATGTATGCATGTCCATTTCACATGATGTCACCTAGATAAGACGACACACAAACCCTGGATTTTACTGCTAGATACCATCAGTCAAATGATCAAACATATTTCCCTATTTCATTATGTCAGCTATTGAAAGGCGCACTATATTTATCAAAAAAGAAAAATAAAGTAGAATATACGTCAGTTTATGATTTGTGTGAGAAAGTCTATCTTTTTTAGTGTGATATATGCATATAGCTATTCTTCTGGGATATTTAGTAATATACAAGTAATATAAATTAGAAAAACTATGTTTCAATGCCTTTTTTAAATTGATATGAGTGATTACGTAGTAGGTTCTACTTTCCCTCTGGTAAGGAATATCATGGCCTTGCTATTTTAGAAGCACTTTAACTGTCAGTAGAATTATAAGTTACATTAGAAAAGTGTCTTCTTCATAAGATGAACTCAAACCACCAACAAAACAGGTATTCCTACACGTGATGCCTTCAATTTATTCAAAAAATTTAAATATTTAAGTATTAGTTTGTAGGGATTTGGTTGATTAGTTACCGGATTTCATCATGAGCTGACAACAGTTAGAGAAACACTAGAAAACCTGCAGCGAGTACTGGACAGCTATTTCGTCCTAGTGTGAGACTTTTCAGTAGTACGCACCTACCGACAGAATTCGAACACAGAACCTTCTGGTTACAAAGCGAGCCAGCTCCTAGACCATTGAGTCACTGAGACCCGAAACAATGGCTAGTCCATGAATTCTAACTTCTCCCAATTCCAATGGTTCTCTAACTAATGTCAGCTCATGATGAAATCCTATAACCAATCAACGAAATCCCTACAAACCAATTCAATGAGATGCTCACTGGCGTTTGGCCCTATTCAAGTAGGTAGTTACCTGGGGTTCTAGTGAGAATTCGTGAGGACAGGTACTCGCCGAAGACATTGGCTAGTGGTTGCGCTATATCGTGAATTGGCCATTGGATCAGGTCCCAGTGGCTTAATAGTCTACGAGCTAGCTCACCTTGTAACTAGAAAGTCCTTGGTAGGTGCGTACTGATGAAGAGTCCCAAACTAGGACGGAATAACTGTCCAGTACTCCTTGCAGGTTTTCCAATGGTTCTCATAATGAAATCATATAAACATTTCTTACAAGTTCAGTGTGTTTAACTAGAAGATGGAATAAAATTCCCTTTTAGTACTATCAATTATGTAACAGTTGATGTTTATTTTTGTTTCCAAATAGCTCACTAGGGAGTCATGTATCTGATTTGACCTAATTCTGTCAATCAAGTCTATAGTATAGTCACTAGGCTGGGTGACTTACTGTCGTTGCACAGTTTGAATCCTATAAGCTAGGCACACATTAGTACCTTGTATATACACCTTAGAAAGTGGTTATATCTCCCAAACGATTCAAAATGATGTCACACACACACACACACAGAATGGCAATTAAAGAGGCTATTGAAATGAGCTATTCTAACTGTGACTTATCTCCTCCTTTAGCACCGTGATTGATACATTTATTTTTTGAAATATCTCATACACCTGAAGCTTTTTGTCACTCCTTCGGATTCTAAGTTCAACATAAGGCGTTATTCTTTCGGGTCTCTGAAGAGGTGGAGTTCATACATACATAGCCTTACACCTAAATGTATGTCAGCTGGGAATTGAATCTTTGACCACCTGCGTGATTGTCCAGCTGCTGAACTACCTAGAACCAAAGTAAATTATTGAGACAATCTAAAATTAAGTAATTTAAAGTTAGCTGATAAAATATTTGAAAACATTTATTTCCCGACACAAATTTTAAACAAGCAACAAAGCAGAATTGAATGAATTCATCAAATTTTGGTAAAACTCATCAGCTTAATACTCTACATACACAGATATATATACTTTTGGAATTACATTGGGAGATATAAGACTGATAAGCAAATAAACTACATAGAATTAGTCATGCAGAAAAACGGGTGAGAATGTTTTCCAGGTCGTGTTCAAATAGATAAGGGGAGAGAGAGAGTATGAGGGAGTAAAATTAAGATAAATTGCACTACGCTTCAATTACATCACTTAGATAAACAATTAGTCATTAGAGAATATAATAAGAATTGCAAACGGACTAATATCAATAGTAATAGTTATAATAACAATAATAATAGTGTTGAAGTGAAGTGTTGAAGATAATCCTACTGATAAAGGATAGTTTTTAAATGAATCAAGAATAATAATGATAGTAAGAGGTAGAATAATAAGTAAAACGTATTATCATGGTAGATTCAGACTGACGACCATCGCCCTTTTTACACAGAGACCTGGTTCATAAACTCAAATTCCACAAGCCTCCTCTGCAATTGCAAGCATCTTCCTGTTTCTTTATCTGCTGATTGGCGACAGTGAATAACTCGACAGCGTCGATATCATATCCATAGATGTCCACAAGATGTTTTGTTATTGAGGATTTTGGTACTCTGCACTCAGTTGTTTTCAAACATTTTGGCAAATGCTTCATCATGCGAGTAGAGAATCGCATTTCTGTACGACCTATGCATTTTGATGTGGTTGTGTTCTCTGAGCTGGATGGTTAATTCGCGAAGGTTTCATCGACCTGATAGGCAACATCTTCAGCGAATACTTCAATTCGAATTGAAATGAGCTTTTAGATTTCTCCACGAGTTTATTAAACGTCTCTCCTCACGACCACCTTGAACATGACTCTTTGGTTGTTTGTGTGTGTTTTCACACCTTCTAGGCTACTTGCATTGGAACTGGTTGTTTCTTTGACTTGAACATTCACCCTTCGTGAGTGAAGTTTCTTTCTTATCCGTTATTAAATTTTATCTATTTCGATGTGGTGTCTATTGATTGATGATTCACTGGAATACCAGGCAGGCTTCTATAAATTCTCTAGCATACTTGTTGTTTCCTCTGGAATGCCAAACTCCTATTAGTTCTCCAGCATTCCTCTGTCTAATATTTGAACGTTGGTTGTCCCAGTCGAACTGATGTCCGTGGTTGTCTGTATGTAGTGATATGAGGGAGTGGGTATCATGTCTTTTGACGGCTAGCTTATGCTCATGGATACGAAGACGAATGGGACGTCCACTTTGGCCAATGTAGTGTTTTTCGCAGTTGTTACAATTTATTTTGTAGATGATGTTGGTTTTATCTTGTTTCGTCGTTGAGTCTTTTGGTTGACATAGAACTGAGTGAAGGGACTTTGTTGGTTTGTGTACGACGTTGATTCATATAGGTGTTTGAAAAGTCTTGTAGTGATTTGGTAGTGGACGTCCCTATCCTCTTCGTATGCATGAGCATAAGCCAACCATCAAAAGACACGAAATCCACTCCCTCATATAACTCACTGCATACAGACAACCACGGACATCAGTTCGACTGGGACAACCAACGTTCAAATATTAGACAGAGGAAACAACAAGAATGCTAGAGAATTTATAGAAACCTGCCTGGTATTCCAGTGAATCATCAATCAATAGACACCACATCGAAATAGACAAAATTTATTAACGGATAAGAAAGAAACTTCACTCACGAAGGGTGAATGTTCAAGTCAAAGAAACAACCAGTTCCAATACAAGTAGCCTAGAAGGTGTGAAAACACACAAAAACAACCAAAGAGTCACGTTCAAGGTGGTCATCAAGAGAGACGTTTAATAAACTCGTGGAGAAGTCTAAAAGCTCATTTCAATTCGAATTGAAGTATTCGCTGAAGATGTTGCCTATCAGGTCGATGAAACCTTCGCGAATTAACCATCCAGCTCAGAGAGCACGGCCACGTCAAATTCACCCACCTGAGCTACAAATCTTCTCTATCATATCCAGACGTGCGTATTTGCTTCATATGTCATATCAGAGATTAAGTGAACAAACATTTTGCCATAGTAATTAAAGGCGAATACAACACACTACTACTAAAGACAAGTACTTTGTTTTTTCATTTTCTTTTTTTTTAATATTTCTCCACCCTTTCTTTTTCTTTCTTACATTTAAGATGCAGATACTGGTATGGAACCCATTGGACAGCATAGAGAAGTTAAAGATAAAAAGGATTTGGCATTGTTAGCTGAAATTGAAAATATCTCAGCAAAATTAGATTATCGACATTATGTAAGCTGATTAATAGTAATAATAATAATATTGTCTTAATGTGTTTTTTATGACTTTTTTAATGTCTTCATTACTTCATTAACATGTTATTCGCCTCTAGTTGTAGTTGAATAAATGTTAATCATTTTAGCATTCTGGTGATAAGACATTTACGCATTAAGATATTTTCTGTGCTTATGACTATATGTATGTGTAGTGTGTGTGCATGTGTGCGTGTGTGTATGTGTACGTCTGTGTCAAAAAGCTGTTCTACTTTCGGCATATATATATATATATTAATCTCTCGCTATCGAAACGCTTTCATATTACAATGATAGATTTACCTGTCATCGCACGTAGAGATAGGCATAAGAATTTAGCTAGGTTTTCTGTAGGTACATAAGAATAGGCATTTCGGTTTGGGAATAGCACAACTGTATATTTCCGATATCATGTTTTTGAACAGACAAGATTCAGTAGTCATTATTATTATTATTATTATTAATAATTAAAGACAGATACATTGTTAACAAAGATGCCTTCTGTACTTTACATATCGTTAAATGTTTTATTTTAATTTTTCATCATGAAACCGATTTATTTTGATTATGAAAAGAATGATGTATCACATAAAATTCCGGTGAATGTTTACCGATAGATAGCGCGTATTGGTTGGCGGTTTATTGAATTCCAAACTGCAGTGCCTGAATGGTCACTGGTCTGACCTTTTAACCTGGAAGGTCTTGTATTCTATTCACCCTTATTGGGTGGGGGTCATTGGTGCGTAATGATGATGACTGGTGAACTTGGATGAAACATGCGTCCATTACTTTCTGTTACTAAGACAACACGTAGCCACCGCTAGGGTTTGAACCCAGGACCTACTGGTTACAAGGCCAGCTGGCTCATTGGTTAAATAATATCGAATCAATAATATTGATAGATTACACCTCAGTAGTATCAACATAAAAAAAGCTAAATGTCATAAAAATTGGGAAAGATAATATTACAAATTCATGAATTTTTAGTCTCTAATGAAGTCCAGGCATGGCAGTAGTAGAGGCTGGCTGGACTTGTTTCTTTTGCACACAAAGCACTGATTGTTTGAGGGGAATAGTAATAGCCTATGTTGTTTGGATCATGCTGTGCTTCGATGATTTTGGCAATTTATTAGACAACCGGTAGATTATAGAGAAGGATTCTTCCAGGCTGGCTTTGTGGCCGTTTGGACCAAGTGGTCTAATATCAAACTGTTTATAGTGTTTTTCACTACACCTTCACTTAGCCGTACGGAGAGATGTTCTCGAGCACGAAAAATCAAGTTCCTAGAGCAACGGCCAATATAAATCGCTCCACAAGCACAGTTGAATTGGTAGATACAATTTGAAGTGACCAGCTAGTCTAGGTACTTCATCTTTCAGTCTAGGGATCAACATCGGTCTTTTAGAGAATAAGACGTGTAGTTCGCCAGCATTAGAAGTCTTGGAACTGATTTTCTTAATTTCCACTTAATTATCTCACTTGTTATATCGCCCTTGAATTGTAGTCGCATATAAAGTGGCTTCTTGTTTACAGATAGTGATTAGTCCTTTTCCGCTTTCTTTGTTGTGCGTTTCCTGATAAATTTTTCGGGATAACTATTTCCAATCGAAGTATCATATACAATGCTTAATTCATCTTGAGTTACTTCTTCTGAGCATATATAACTTTAACTCTGTGGTTGAGGGACTTTGATAAATTTCTTTTGCACTTGACAGGAACGAAGCTGTGAAAATACACAAATTTGCACATTGTAAAAACAAAGCTTGAGTGATTCCAGGCAGTTTTTTAGCTTCTTAATGTAATGACATGCCTATGATACATTCCTCAATTAAAGCGTTTCTACCAACTTGTAGGAAATATCACTGTCATAAGACCTTCTAAACACTTAACCTCAAGAGAATTTAACACAACAATCGATGTTATATATCTTCTGAAGGACTTTTAAACACCTTTTTAAAGTACGTAAATATTGGAATAAAGCAAGTACAACAGTGGTTTGTGCTGAATAATATGGTACCATCACTTTTATTTTGTTGGCTTCCTATCATCTGTTTACAGCCTAAATAAGTTATTAGAACGTAACTAGCCAGAGCCTTCCTGCAGCTAAGTTGGTTCCCGTCCATCGAACAACATGACCTTTGGTGCAAGCAAAAGTCGATAAATACCCTTCTCATGTTAACTCCAACTGTGTACACAAATTTACGTGTCTCTACGGGAGCAGTTACATTGGGAGAACAGAAAGAAGGGCACACCTCCGATTTTCTGAACATGTGCAGAAAAGCTTACGTGGGTCTCAAGGGAACAAACTCTTATAGTAGCACTATTACCAGACATCTCGACACGGGTCATGAGGTGGAAAGCAAGAAATCCTTTAAAACTATCATTAGACAAAGGAGCTTTATTCTCCTCAAGTTTGTCAATGCAATTTCTATCAAATGCTTGAAACCAGATTTATGCGTTCAGAAAGAAACAGTTATTAGTCTTTCCTTGCCACCCTGGTAACTGGATGTCTTTATTCTTGCTTTCATTTGATTACGTAATCTTTGTCTCTAACCTCACCCTCCTCTTATACTCTTTAATTTTGCTTGTCTCTTGTTTCTATGATTTCAGTTGAACTCAGTACATTGTTACCTAATTTATTAGTCACTCTGCATCTAATGCACATCTCATCTTAATTACGTAACTCCTTTACCATTGTATGCATAGACTTATTTTGTTTTAACTTGAACTACCTGTATAAAAAGTATAAAAGCGTAATTTTCTGAGCACTGTTCACTAATTGTGGAACTTTCTGTCAACTGACAACATGTAAAATTTGCAAGTATGCTAAAACTTTACTGTACATAAACCTCATAATTTATTTAGGCTGTAAGCAGCAGCTGATGAGAAGCCAACGAAATAAACAAATGATGGTACCATATGATTCTGCCACAAACCACCACTGTTGTTCTTGCTTTATTCAAATTCATCAAGGGGAATAATAATAATTTAATAATAATTTATTTTACTTTATTCCAAAAACAGTACTTATAATACAGAATGGAATTCTCAGCATTTGTCATAATATTCCATCTGATTTACTTAAAATATAAATCAAATTAAAAATTCAAACAAAATTAACCAGAGGAATTTGTCCACGCTTACGATATAAAGTCAAAAATATTCTAAGCACGAATTGAGATCATTAAATATTAATAATAATAATAATAACAATGAGTTTGTTTCAAACAGTATTGTCGATTCAGTTTGAAAATGTTAGCATGTTACTATAGAGTATTGAATCTAATGTTCTGTTGATGTAGTATGGTGGGGGGAAATACAAGATTAACAGTTATAACACAGCCTAAACGATGTTCACAATTATGAAAAATAAATAAATAAAAACAAAAAATTGAGAGGATTGTAAATATAAGAAATACAATAACAATCAAGTTTGGTACTGTAAGGGTGGAAGAAATGGTTTATTTAGTAGTGCAAAGAAGGTTAGTTAGTTCATGCCTGACACGTTTTTCATCACATAAAGTGAGTGCCAAATATGGTATAGTGGAATTTCTATACTTAGACAGACGTGCATAAATTCTTCTAAAAAGACTCCTTGTTTTACCTGAGGAGACACAAGGTTGGAGCTGCGGGTAGAGTGGGTGCTCAGAGTCTGAGAAAATTCCTCTAGCAAATTTGTTGCATGACATCAAGTGCCTTTCAGTAACAATGTCAACGATATGGCCCAATGGGATACCACTCACCCTACTGACGGTCAGTCTTCAGAGTTCTACAAATTATGACATAGTCTTTTTTAAGCAATCCAGGAAAAAATAAGTGTGAACAGTAAAGAAGAATAGGTAAAATACGCGAGTTGACAAACTGTAAGAGGAGGAGTGGTTGAGTTATGCCTGAGTGCCTTAACTTCTTAATGTAAAAAGTCAGAAGAAATATTCTTTTAGAAATCGCTAAGACATGGGAGACCATGATATGTCAAAAGAAATAATTAATCCAAGAATAAATATTAGGAATTAATGAGTCGTAGTTTTAAAAACATCATCGCTTATCCTTAGTTCTCCTTTTTGTTTCTTTCTTCTTATTACAAAATTATCTATCCAATTGTTTCATCGTTTTAAGCACAAATTGAAAACACCTGTTTTATTCCATGTGTTTTATAATAATTATCATTATTATTATTACTATGATTACTATCCGATATTGTAGACTGACTAAAAGCGAACCTGCTTTGTATACTCCTCTTCTCCTATTCCCCCCTCCAGTACTTCTTCACGATAACTATCAAACAGAGTTATGTTTTACATATGTTCGCCTTTTCTTGTCTTTTTCTCTTCATCGATATACCTCTCTCTCTTCATAAATATTCTGCCTTTGTTATGCATGTGTAAGGCATTTTTCAATTTTTTCTAAAAAAAAAGTTATATAAAAGTCCATCTGTGACAGGTAGTTGGGTCTTTCTAGTGCATAGATCACTCCAATAACAATTCCCTCACACTCTCCCACTCATACATACATACATACATCCACATAAGCACAAAGGATTACATATGTTTTATTGCATCCAATGAATTATTGATTGTCAAGAATGCAAAAAACCCAACAACAACAACAACCAAAAAACACCACGAGGAAAGAAAGAAAATTGCCAAATCAATTAGATGGATTCCTACTGAGTGCGCGTGCGCGCGCGTTTTTTCTCTTTTTATACAAATATTTTATTTGCCTTTTCCTCTGTCTTTTTTTACACTGACGCCTGAAAAGTAGGTTCACTACGCCATCTATAGATGAATGAATTAGGTGAATGGAATTTTAATTATTATCTAATAAGGACTGCTTGTAGAAAAATTTGAAATTACTGGTGTATAGGATAGTTAACAGATTAGCACGTGTGTGATTCTTTAAAAAACGAGGAAAAACTAAAATTTTCACAGTCTTTATTTGGTTTGAGGTCTCTTTCTCTCTGTGTCTTCAGTTACAGATGGTCGCCTTAATTCATATATCATTATTTTTATTGTTCCCTTAGGTTCCTAGTGGGACATAGGGCTTCAACTGCACATCTCCACTTGCTTCTGTCTTCTGATGTGCTTTTCACCTGCATCCATCCATGTTAGTCCATACTGACTGTTTCAACTCCTCTTCACACGATCTCCTCCATGTCACCCTTGCTCTGACGATCCACTTACCGCTTCCCTTTTGGCCTGGTTCCACTCGAGCGATGGCCTGACGCTCGTGCGATGTCGCCCAGCGGCGGCCTCCCCAGCGAGTGTCCAATCCATCTCCACTTTCTCCCGCATGTTTGTTGGATGGCGATTGCTTTTTGTTTTGTTTGTTCGTTCCCATAGTTTCTTGTTGATGATTCTTTCTGGCCCGGCCATCTAATCTTCAGTATAGATACAGAAAAGACAGTTGTTGATAAAGGTCTGCAACAGCTGCAACAGGCTGTTGGAAATAATCTTTGTGACCCGCCCGCCAAGTTTCTGGTCCGTATAGAAGAGCTGACTGACTTGACGTTTGTATTGAAAATCCGAACAAATTTTGTTGTTGATGCTGAATAACGAAGATTTCCAGATTGATTTCAGGTTGATGAATGTGTGTGTTTCTCGCCTTCCGATTCCCTCTCGATTTGACATCCTCGTCCGTTCTGACTGCCTGTAGTTGAGACAATGCTCCCTAGATAAGTGAGTGGATGAAGTGACCTCTTTCACATCCCTCCCGTTGATGATGATTGGCGCTGGTTGTTGCTGTTTACCATATTATTAACGAAATAAGAAGATCTATATTTACTTCATTCCAGATTGCAGGAGTTTTGGTATGAAGATAGTAATTTAGAGGAGGCAGTGTCGAGTTGAATGTGATGACATGACTTGGGTTTTGTGCTAGCCGGCGCTCGTCAGCAAGGTATACCGATAAACTCGAAGGAACTCATGTTCTTCCTGAGATCTAAACCCGTGTCATCTAGTGCTGCAGTCCGACACGTTGCCACTGAGCTATTCGGACTCACGATTGACTTCCTGCAGGGCTGTATTGGATACTTTGATTGGACACTAGCCAACAACTAGTTCGATGTGTCTAGTCCTTTATTTGGTGCAGATTGAATCACATCAGTCACGTTTGCAAGATGGCCACCATTCTAGGTAACTCACCATTACGGTGTACTTTGAATTGTTGATGAAAGATAGTTGGAGGCAATGGGTAGGAAACTTTAGACCTTGTTTTCGTGCTAGTTGGCACTCGTCAGCGAGATGCATCCGCATCCTCGAAGAAAATCATGTCTCTTTTGAGATCCGAACCCGTGTGACTTATTCCTGCAGTCAGAGACCACTAAAGAAAGGACAAGATACATTACACTAATTCCTTATCACTGTCTAGTCAAAAACTAATTTAGATTATGAGGTTTCTAAGGATTTGCATGAATCGAACTACATCTGTTAAATTTCAGCATGAACTAAAATTACTTAGAGAATTCACTGAAAACCAAGGAGCACTGGACAGTTGTTCTAATCACCATGTGAAGTTGAAGTGGATGGTCGTCGAAGGCGATGGTTATACCATGAGTTGACAAAAGTTAGAATTCACAAGGTAAAATCAAACACCAGACCAGCCTTCGACTGGAACCTTAATGGAAGACGACAGTTTATGAAAATAATATTCACATGGAGAAGATGATTTGAAAATAAAACGAAAGTATTTTAGCCACCATGGAACCACCTGGAAGTAAATGTACAGAACAGGTTCTAAGCCCTACAGTCCACTTGGAACGCCTCTCTGTTCAAGATTTTTGAAGACAGCATAACACCACATGCTGCTTGGAGATAAATATCAGTAACATAAGGCACTAGAAATCAATAAGCAATCAATTACTTCTTCAGTGTATCCGTTTATGTGATCTATGCTTCTCAGGCGCATATTTGAACAAGTGGACATTAGAAAGACAATAAACACTATCATACATCGTTTATACTGGATAAATTACGAATCCACTTTTGTCGACTTTCGAAGGTATACCGATGAGTATAAAAATAATACCTGACATGCTTCTTCGACAGCTAAGTATGTTTATGGGTGTGTAGAGAGAATCTTATAAACAGAAACCTAAGGACATGCAACATGCTACTATAGGAAGAATAAAGATTCCTATAAATCTGTGTATTTAGAGATTTTCACGACTTGATGAAAAACAGGGGAACTAAGGATTCAAATTGATCCTTAAAAGCCTAAAATATTAAATGGGATGACACAGAGTTCATTATACAGCCACTCAAAAAAAGAAAAAGAAAAAGCACTTAGACCACAGTGATAAAAGAGGCTGGACAAAACGTTTCTGAATACAATGATTGCTGCTAAACATTCGGCTGCATGAAGAGACTCAGTTAAAATCTTTTGGAACAAAACCTTTGAATCATACCTTATTTATTTATTTATTTATTTTGATTTACAGCTTGATTCTACACTGTATTTTTGGTACAGGTATGGAATTTTCAGCATGGATATCGGTAGCCCAAATTTTGCAGGCCGACCACGGATATCAAGTGTGCGCCGGCGTGGGCTCGAACCCGGACCATGTGCATGGTCGGCGAGAGTTCTAACCACTGTGCCACCGACGCACACTGTGAATGAAGTCACTGCTGGTGCTGCGTGACCAGAAATAATAATGTGCTCCAGAATTGATCTGTTGACTGCTCTACGTTCTCATTCTAAGTATTCATGGGCAGGTCTAGACAATCTCCTGTCTGTGTACTTAGTTCCATGGGAATTAGTGAATTATGACTAATTACCCATTGATGTTTCCAATAACAGGATCCTGTCTTTCACATCCTCGTGTCACTGACTGCAAATAAAGTGATAGTCACTTATGACACTGAAATATAAAACTTATCACGCTGGCACTATCCTAATTAGGTGCGTATATCCACACAAAAATTTGTATTGGAAAGAACCTAATTTAATTTTGTTCATGTTGTTCAGTTGTAAATTTGTGTTTATTCAATTCCACTCAACACCGCCCCCCCCCCGATTACTCTTCTGTGTACACAGGATCTAGATGCTGTAGTGCGTAGAATGTATCTATCGATTCAAAAAGAACTTGAAGACTTACGCACAGCAAGGAATGCAGCTACACCAATGCCCGGTAATATTTCTATTTTTACAGCTACTAGCAAGTAAGTCCTACAATATTTTTGGTGTAGAAATTATTTTTTGTTACAAAAAAGTATCATAATATAAAGAAGTCATTATGTTTCGAGTCATTTTAAGACATCAGCGGGCTGGATTTCATTGTTAATAAAGGTCTAACTTATTTACTTAAGCTACTTTGGCTTTTCAAGTTGGCACCCATCTAGAGGACTCTCGCGAAACTTCAGAACACTGAAAAGCTGTTTCGTTCTAGCTTGGGACTCTTCATCACCTCTCTATCTAGTATTTTATGGCTACAAGAAAACATTGTGACCGTCAGGGTTCATCAGGTCAGGTTAGAGGATGGTTATTCGCCTATAACACAAACTGGAGGCTACGATGTACATCGCCATTTGGCAGAAGCTAGACTTCGCTGATCATTCGATCAGGTCGCAGTGAATGAATGGTTTACCAACTTGTCTTGTAATCGGAAGGTACTGAATTCGAACCAGCTGTTCATATGCACAACTGAACAGTCTAAAACTAGGACGAGACAACTCTCTGACACTTCCAGGTTTTCTGACGATTCTCTGAGTGATTTAAACCTCTAATCGCATTTGCAAACAATCAAATCCTTGCAAACCAGAACTTGACATATGTATTTCCCATTGGGTGATCATATCCGACCGAAAACTTTAGTCTCTGTTGGCATGACGCCTATTAGCATGTAGGCTTAGAAGATGTCTGAGTATTAACATCGTTTTGTTTCATGGATGGTTACCAGCAGCGGAATCCAGGATGTATGTTTCGTCTCATTTTGGACTCATCAGTAGGATTTACCCGCTTTGGCCTTTAAAAGGCTGGGTGATAAGTTCGAGTCCCATTGAAAACACCTTCACTAATTGGGAATCGTCGATATATCCAGGTGATGAATCAGAATTATGCGAAAATACATGTCGTGGACTCATTCATTAGTCATCAGCTACAAAAATGAGACATATTCACACCACACTATGGCAGGAATGATTGAAACAGAAATGGAAATCTGACAAAATGATGGCGCACTTAGGGGATCAGAAAATTAGATATCAAAGGTTCGAATTCTGTATGGCATTTGACAAAAAGCTTATGTGTACGTACATTATTTTTTCAAACACCAATATAAAAACGCATTTCTTTACGAAATCTGAATGTTATTCAATTATTTAATGATATAATGAAATAAAAGTCCTTACTTAATGAATAGTATTTCGAATTAACTAATGTACATTAGACCTACTCATAGTATGTCTTTATAATATATGGTTAATTATTACTAACACTGGAATCATGGATAGACCTTACGTCCTATTTAGAACTCGTCAGATGGATTTACCTGTTTTTCAGTCAGTGGTGCTGTTCCTATAAAAACAGCTACTGATTTCCTGTGAATTGCTCAATCTATCTTAGACGTCTGAGCGTGAAGTTAATCTCTTGGGTGATAAGGATATTAACCAAAAAGCTAACTATGCTAACCATAAACTTTGAGAAGGGGAAGACCATACAGCATACATGCGGACTTAAATTTCTGGACTCTATAAGTGACATTTACACCTTCATGTAGACACAGTTCACAAATCCAATTCAAATAAGTCATGCGTAATTCGTGTCAAATAGACTTCCCCTGGACTCTGAAGTCATACAACTTCCACGGTTGAAACAACCAGCAAGTAATGTCAACTCATACATACTCCCCTAAGTACATACAGTTTTTCTAATCACATTACCCAACTTCATCTGTATATCTGATGGGTTATTATTCGTAAAGTGTACTGGATGCAGAACTCCGCCCTACTGGAACAAACTGAATTCAGGAAAGGCAAATCATAAGCTTATCAAATTGCATCTCTGCGCATTGTCATCGAACAAGGCATAGAATGGCAGTTAAACCTCTACCTCAACTTCATCGACTTTGAAAGGCCTTCGACAGACAGCGTCGGCCGAGAAGTAAATTGGGAAAAAAAAACCATTTCAACACCACGGCGTGCAATGCACAAGTAGTCTTTATAAACCTCATTCAACAGTCAGCCATATGAGAGTGCTATGTGTCAGGTGATCAAAAACGGAAAACTCAGATAATCGTTCAAATTGCATACAGGAGTAAGACAAGCTGACTGCCAATTATGATTGACAATGATATTCTTAATTTTGGTGGACTGGATTATGTGTCAGACTGAATCAATAAGAAGACTCTAGAAGATCCGGATTTCCTGTGGAGATGATTTCTGTTTAATGTCACACAGGCTCGAAAAGCTGAAGAAAAAAACCGGCAAACTGTCTGAATAATCAGATAATGAATACAGGACTCCACGTGAAAATAGGGAAGACGAAGATGGTGAAGATAACCGATCAACATCAACAGGAGAGATTGGACAGAGGTTACTTCCTTCACTTGTCTAGGAAGCATTGTTACACCAACCACCGAAATGGATGAAGATATCAAAGTCATATAGAATCAAAATGATAAGATACGCCTCCATCAACCTGAAACCAGCTTAGAAATCTTCAGCGCTCAATCAGCACAAACAGCAAGATTTGTATTTTCAACACATATTTGAAGTTGGTCAATTCTTGCATACAGATCAAAAACTTTCATCGAGTATCAGGTAAAGGATGTCCAACACGTTACAGACTTTTGTCGACAGCTGCCACCTTCGTTGGATTCATAGTGAAGGTCAAATGGCTTGAAAAAAATTAGCAATAAGAAACTCTGACTGGGAACGAACCAACCAAGAGCCGACCACTCAACAAATATGGAAGAAAAACTGAAGATGGATTGATATAAGTATAAAACTTGGGCACTGTGGTAGAGTATAATTCCATTATAGATAAGATTTTATTTTGATAAATCGCACAGTGTCACACAGTAATTTTACTGATGACCAGGTTTCGAGCACAAATTATTACTGCTTATAATCATGCCAAGGTAATCACACGACTTGATAAATTCATTCCATTGTTATTCTCTTGATTTTCACTTGAATTGATTGGTGATAGTATTTTCCATATTTTAGGTATGAGTGACGAGTCATTCCTATTGCATGTGTTTGGTGTAGACTCGATGAACAAGGATTCAGTAATCAACCTCTCTCTCCACCTATCTAGATTACATTTTAGAATTTTAACCCTCTCCCATCCTATTGTGTGGCTGTGTGTTAATACATGCATAGCAATTGCTGAGATTTTTAATAAATTACTTATCTCTCGGGGTCAACCATTCTTACCTTAGCTAAATTCTTATGTTCTGACATTCTGACTACCCCGGACCTACCAGTTTGACCTAAGTAGTTGACCTCACAATCATTGCATGGTATTTTGTAAATAATATTATTTTGTCTAATTGGATCCACCAGGTCTTTTAGCTACAGAGCGTCCCTGAGTGAGTTTGTAGGTTTAAATGCACCTTAATTTAAACCTACAAACTCACTCAGGGACAAGCTCTGTAGGTTAAAGGACCCAGTTGACCCAATTAGACAAAATAATATAATTTACAAAATACCCTGCAATAACTGTGAGGTCAACTACATAGGTCAAACTAGTAGGTCAGGGGTAATCAGATTGTCAGAGCATAAAAATTTAGCTAAGGTAAGAATGGTTGACCCCGAGAAGATAAGTAATTTAGAAAAAAGCTCAGCAATTGCAATGCATGAGCTAACACACAACCCCACAACAGGGTGATGGGAGAGGGTCAAATTTCTAAAAGTAATCTAGATAGGTGGAGAGAGAGAGGTTGATTACTGAATCCTTGTTCATCGAGTCTACACCCAACACATGCCATAGGAATGACTCGTCACTCATACCTGAAATATGGAAAATACTATTACCAATCAAATCAAGTGAAAATCAAGAGAAAAACAATGGAACTATGTAAATGAATTTAGGAAGTCGTGTGATTACCTTGGCATGATTATAAGCAGTAATAATTTGTGCTCGAAACCTGGTCATCAGTAAACATTACTGTAAACACTGTGCGATTTATCAAAATAAAATCTTATCTATAATGAAGATGGATTGAGCATAAACTGAGTAGGCCGTGGAATGAAATCGCACACAATGCAGGCCATCGTTCGAGTAAGCCGTCGGTGTGAGATTATCTTAGCTGGAGGAGATGATTGACCATTGTTAATCGTGGAGCCATATGAAGAGGATAGCAGAGAAGAGAACAAAGTGGAGATATGTGTGGGGTTGAGGACCTGTGTTCCACTCAAGGGAATAATAATATAACAGTAATATATATATATATTTGTAAAGGAAAAGCACGAACAAGTAATCATTAACACACGTTATTACTTGAATCGATATTATTCAACACTAATAAGCATCCCGTGTAACAAAGCAACAAACATTAAGCTTACATTCAGATTACTTACTTCTATATATGCCTAATTCACTGCCATCTACCGCGGACATCGCATGTATCCTGTCAAATACTAGAGTTTCGCTTATTCGCCATGATAATTTATGTTCGAATTTCTATTCCCATAAATTCTAACTAACGAGGAAAACAAAGCTTTTATGAGAAGAAGAATAATAAATTATATGTGTGTATATTTCGGAATACCCCTTGTTCATACATTTAAATTTGTCAATAAAACAAAAGGCTTAGTTATAATCATAAATTCACATGTATCCGTACATAGTATTGTATCACGCGAAAATCAACTATCCATCTTATCTCTTTTCCTTTTTTTTTTACAGAGAAGGTATTGAACGCTATGAAGTTATGTTTCCGAATAGTGCAAAACGTAGGGAATGGGAACGGACAGTCTTGGAACTGAAAAGACAGTTAAGTAAGTTGACACTAACACCTTTTTTCGTCTCTATGAAACTGAAAATGCAAACAATAAATCAGTGACATTAAAAAATGGATTATTAGATTTGAAGTTAGTTCAACAATCACATTTCAAATAGTTGATTTTTAAGGATCAATTAGAGAAACATTGAAAACCAATGAGGAGTACTGCCAGACAGCTGTTTCATTCTAGTTTGTAAATCATCGGCAGAACGTACTAACTGCCAGGTTTCGAAACTAGGACCTTCCGGTCATTGAATCAGGTCCCAGTGGCTGAATGGTATACGAGCCAGCTTGCCTTTTAACGGGAAGGTCCTGGGTTTGAACCTAGTGGATGCGTACTGCCGATAATTCCCAGACTAGGATGAAACAGCTGTCTGACAGTACTCGCTGGTTTTCAATGGTTCACTAACTGATATCAATCTGTGATCTACTCGTAATCACATTTTATGCAACAGATGAATGATGGATGTCAGTAGTCGACAATGTAACAGATTTTGTTCATATTCAGAACAAAGACTCAATTTGATTTTTTTTTAATGCACCAAATTTTGCACTGCATTTGCATGAGAAGAGTGATAACAGTATCCCAGTGACTGAAAAATCAACAGCCTAGCCTCGTAACTTGAAGGTCTTGGATGCATACTGCCTTAAAATGAAACAGCCATCCAATACTTCCTGATTTGGTGTATCTGCCATTCACTGATAGAATTCTCGCCAGCCAAGAGATGAAAGGGCCCGATGTGATTCTTGGCCGACACATTATTAAACCTACTTGATAGCATGCCTGGAAGTGAGGATAACAAGCTCATCCTTGTAACTGGCACCTAAATTTCAAAGCCTAAAGTACCAAGCTCCTCTCATAGATCAAAAAAGAGGAAATTCAAGGCTGTCATAAAGATTAGAAGAGCAACCTCACAAGTTTACTCAGGCATTCAGTAGATAAATTGTGCTTCAATCTTTGATAATTATCACATTAGGTTTTTGTTGGTTCACACTGGTATAAGATCTCTTTAGCGATTAACTATCTAAGCGCGGTAAAATACTTACCTCAAAAAGTGAAGTTGGTGCGTTCTAGCTTTAACAAAACTCAGGTTGTCAACGGTTCAAATGTGAAATTATTACAAAATGTTGACAGAATTTTACTAACAACCGACATTACTTGGAAGAACCATTAAAAACCAGAGAGTACTGGATACCCATCTGATCCTAATCTAGAAGTCCTCATCAGCACACACCGGTAGCTCCACAAAGGATTGAACTCTCAAAGGTGCAAGCGTGTTACTATTCGTTAGCTGATATGTAATCCTGCGATCCATCAGTTCAAACGGATGGTGATGATATATATCGCTTAACGAGAAGAGTTCGTTAGGACTCACGAATCTCTAAATTCCACCTAGTGGATGCACGGATAGTGGACTCACCTAGTAACCCGAACGCCTAAGGTTCAGTCCTTTGTGCCATTATGAGTACACACCTGTTAGAAGTCCCAACTGATTTATGCTCGTGATGAGACCCATCTTGAAATCAGCCAATCAGTTCTCTACAAATTAACCACCTGAAGGTGTCAACAAAATTTTAATAAAAAAAATTTGTAAATGAATTTAATTAAGTCTAACAATCTTTTTCCTTCTGAAAATTCTTCTTCTTAAGGTTCTGTCAAACGTACGGCTAGATTTAACGAAGCTATTCAAATCCCTCGTACACTGCCCGGTATACAGGTGAGTTAGAAAGCTTTTTTTGAAATATTCAAAAGATTTACATTTATGTGTGTATAGACCGTTGCTGGTCCAATAGTAGAATGTTCACCAACCATGGAAGTGATCAGGGTTTCGATTCCTGACCACCGAAGTACTCATAAACCTTGTCTGTTTCACCAGCCGATAATAAGCTTGGAAATTAGGGAAGGTTGGGAGTAAGTCTATCAGACTCACCTGTCAGAAACAACAACACCACAGATACTGAAGTTTCAAGGCTTCAGACCTTAAGCACTATATTCCACACTTGAAGCGCAAGAAATGACACAACATTATGTGTACATAGGTCACTCTACTTTTCCAAAAATTAGTGGGCCATTGGATCGGGTCTCAGTGGCTTAATGGTATACGAGTTCACCTTGTAACCAGAAGGTCCTGGGTTCGAACCTCCTGTGGTGGATGCGTACTGCTGAAGGGTTCCAAACTAGGACGAAACAGCTGTCCAGTACTCCCTGCAGGTTTTCAATGGTTCTCTAACTAATGTCAACTCATGATGAAAATCCTGTAACCAATCAAATCCCTACAAACTAACACTTGAATACCATTTTTTTATTCCATTACGTTCCCAGTGTGGAACATAGGGCAGCTCCCAGCTATAGGCTTGTAGTTTATGTGGCAGTGGTGATTATTTTTACATCATGGGTTTGGTTGCTAGCTTCATGCTTAACCTTCCCACTTTACAGTCTTACTAATGGCTTAGCGAGGTAAAGGAGTGCGTCAGTGGCTGGGAATCGAACCCTGGACCACCTGTGGCGTGGTCGGTGAGCACTCTACTGATGTGCCACTGACGCATGTCAATAATTCATAGTAGTAGTTTACTACAGTAGTCTATTTAGCGTTTTCAAAATGCTTTATCACCGGAACTAGCAATAAATACACTATTAATTCCATAAATACACAGTGTTTTATAATCTAAATTGAATCATCTAACACCTTGAATAAAACTTTTATTAGCCACAATCGTCTATGAGATAACATCAAAGGTAACTAAATGAAGACAATAATTTATTTGTAGGCAAATCTTGGCAAAATAAGTGGTTGCAAATTGCACACGTGTTTTCTTATGTTCTTATTTATTTTGAAACTGTTATTAAAACTGATGCAAATCTTAGTATCTACCTATTTGTGTTGTACAAGTTTTCAAGTATTGGTTTTGTAAAGATTTTGTTTGATTGCATGGAGGATTTCATCATGATCTGACATCAGTTACAGAACTAATGGAAAACCTGGAAGTACTGGACAGTTGTTTCGTTCTTGTTTGGGACTCTTCATCAATACGCACCCACCTGCCAGAGTTCGAACCCAGGACGTTCTGGTGACAAGGATACTTAGCTCGTAGACCATTTAGCCACTGAGACTCGATCCAATGCCAGTCAATCAATTCTAACTTCTGCCAATTCATGACATAGCGTGACCGTTTCGCAATGTCTTGTTTGATGAGTTACTGCCTCATCTTCAACCTGCTGTACCCTACTGGTCACGGCTCATGATGAAATCCTCCATGCAGTCAAACAAAATCCCTTAAAAACCAATACTAAAAATTAATCTGATGCTCACTAGCGGCTGGCCCATTCAGTCAGTTAACCTGGGGTTCTAGTGGGAAGCCGTGACCAGTAAGGTACAGCAGGTTGAAGATGAGGCAGTAATTCTTTGAAGAAGACATTGAGAGATGGTCGCACTATGTCATGAATTGGTAGAAGTTAGAATTGATTGACTGGCACTGGATCGAGTCTCAGTGGCCCAATGGTCTACGAGCTGGCTTGCCTTGTGACCAGAACGTCCTGGGTTTGAAGCAGGGCAATGGGTACGTACTGATGAAGAGTCCCAAACTAGGATGGAGGAAACAGCTGTCCAACACTCCCAGGTTTTCCAGTAGTAACAAGTTGTCTGTAAGTGCCAGTCTGCACGAGTTTGAGTGATTTCACGATTGATCCCTAATTGATTTTAGTTACAGAAACAGTGAAAAACTAGAGAGTACTGGACGGCTATTTTTATTCCTTGTTCGTAACTCGTTATAAGCACGCATTCACCATCCCATCATCGATTGAAATCAGGACCTTTAAGTTATACGGCCATCTCAAAGACAACTCAACCACTGTGATGTAGCCCGTTGGCCCATCAAATCTATCTTCCATCAGTTCGTAATAATCTGGAGCGATCGTTAGTCAGTGTCATCAGTAGGTATTTGTCCTCATGGTAGATCCCGCTAGTGATGTTGTTGAAGAAACTCAAATAGGTATGAAATGGCTATCCAGAACTTCCTAGTTCTGAATGGTTCTGTAACTTAAATCAATTCGTGATCAATCTTCAAGTTGTTTTATTTTACTCATCCTCATACCTTGTGTTTCTAAGTTGTGTTGACTGAATGACCATCAAGTTTGCTGTATGTCCTACAGTATGTAAGCATAATTATGATATGTGTATGATATGTGTAAAGTGGCATAATAAGGTGAGCAACATGAAGTTAGGCGTCGAGTTCTAGGTAAACAGGGGAAATCAATCGACGAAGTCGTGAAGTTACAAAGACTGAGATGGTTAGGACATGTGTTACGTATGCCAAGTCATCGCCTCCCTCGACGAGCAATGTTAGCGGATATAGGGTCAGGCTGGAAAAAAGCTAGCGGCGGTCAAACAAAAACTTGGCACCAGTCAATGAAATCCACAACAGTTGATCTAAGCATGTAGGAAGGTGTAGACTTCCAGGCTGGGGTCCTGGGGACGGTAAAACTCTATGGTTGGAAACAATTGGTGACATGGCTCAAAATCGTTCTCAGTGGCGCAGATGCATCCACTCCTTGTGACTTATGATCTCCAGCGAAACTGTTTTGTTCTTCGTTAATACTATTCCTTTGTCTCACCCTCTGCTCACTGTTTCTATTATGCTTTTCTTGTACTTTCTTCTCTTGCTTCGCGTGCTACACGGAATGTGGCGACTTGAACTTCCGCACATTTGTGTATAGTTTTATGTCGAAAACAGACAGACAGACATGATATATTCTACTGTATTAATTGACCTGATACAGTCATCATCATCATAAGAAACCTCATTAAATTGAAACTTTGTAATACTTTTGTGGAAGGCGAAGTAAATCAATCATTGCTTTTATCATATGTCTGAATCTTAATGATTACATAATGACTTACTTAATTACCTAAAGTATATTTGTGTTACATGTAAAGGTAATATTTTAACTTTTTGTCATGTAGAATTATCTCTGAACAGAGAAAAACAGGTGCGCTTTACTTCAGATTCCTCATTCAGTTTGTTTTATTTTATTTATACAACTGTACCGATAACTTTGACTTTAGCAATAGTGAAAACAAAACACGTAGTGTTCAGCGAAGCGTCTCTTTTAGGCGGCGAATTCATTTTCTTAGCTGTACAATCGCAAATACATATGTGTTGTTTTGTATGTATGTGTACATTAAGTTTGTCACACAAAAATACAATTGGTTATGGTTATTTAACTAAACAGGTGAAGGTTGGTAATATAAGTCAAGAAAATTAGGTGTTAATGAAATTAGGATAGTAACAAAGGTGATGAGTTGTCACAAACAGTTATTAAAAGAATTCTGTACTGATATGAATAGTTTGATGAGTGAGTTTTACTCAGGATGCATATAGAAACAAAGTAGATGATACGAAATTAAGTAAAAGTTTTTAATGAAAGAAAACTTACATGGATCAACCTGTGATCGAGCACTTCGATCCATTCAATCGACGGAAAAATCTAAGATTCAGTTAAATAATTATTATAAACCGTTGCGCAAGAGTTGGTTCTCGTCGCCCAAACGTATGCTGGATGACGTTTTGGCGTCTGTAACTACGGACACTGGATTCGAGCCTCGGTTGGAACATCATCACTCACTGGGGAATGCAGGTACATCCGGTTGATGAGTGCCAAATGGGACGAAATGCGCATCCTGGATTCCACTGCTGGCCATCATCCACCAATTAACCACTAGAATGAAAAGTATTAAAAATACTGAATAATAATAGATGGAGTCGCCATAAACGGTACTAAACCGCATGAGGACTTTGAATTCATGACTAACTTCAGTAGTTTCAGAATAAGGAATAAAGTTTAATTCCAATGTGTTTATTTTCTCTTAGCTGGGTAGTTAATTTGCAAAGCTTTCATTGCCTGCCCTAGGAGGCGACATCTTCAGCTCCTACTTAAATTCGAGGAAGTGAGTTTTTAGATTTCTCCACGAGTTTACTAGCCATCTCTCCTGGTGGATGACCTCGAACGTGAATGGTTGTTTTTGTGTTTTCACACCGTCTAGACGACTTGTATTGGAACCGATTGTTTCTTTGACTTGAACTTTGACACTTTGTGTTTGAGATTTCCTCCTTATCGGTCGGTAAATTTTGTCTATGTCAATGTGTTTGTTGATTGACGATTCACTGGAATACTAGACAAGCTTGTAAAAATTCTGTAGCATACTTGTTGTTTCCTCTGTCTAATATTTGAACGTTGTCTCAGTCGAACTGGTGTCCGTTGTTGTTTATATGCAGTGAGTTATATGAGCGAGTGGAGTTCAAGTCATTTGATGGCTAGCTTACGTTCACGAATACGAGGACAAAGGGGACATCCACTTTGACCAATGTAGTGTTTTTTGCAGTTGTCACAATTTATTTGTAGATGGTGTTGGTTTTATCTTCTTTCGCTGCTGGTTGTTTTGGTTGACGTAGAACTAAGTGAAGTGATTTTGTTGGTGTGTGTGTGTGCGTGTGACGTTAGCAACTGACGTCACACACATCATACTCCAGACCAGCCATCACATAGAACCCTTATAGGAAATGACAAGTTGAAAGCTGGTATTCCAGGAATCGTCAATCAATAGACAAATCGAGATGGACAAAATTTACCAATCGATAAAAAAGAAATCTCACACAAAAAGGGTTCAACTCAAGGAAACAATCAGTTCGAATACAAATAGCCTAGATGGTGTGAAAACACACAAAAACAACCGATCACGTTCAAGGTCACCCGCCAGAGAGATGACCAATAAATGCGTTGAGAAATCTAAAAGCTGACTTCAACAAATTGAAGTATTCGCTGAAGATGGTGCCTGGTAGGGTGGAAGATGAAAGCTTCGCAAATTAACTATCCAGCTCAGAGAACACAACCACATCAAAAAAGTTTAATTGCATTTGTTCTTTTTTTTCAAAGTTTGGTTTTTTTATATCAGTAATGTGATTATTTTTGCTAGTGGTCATATTTAGTTCTTTGCCTCCTTTGTAAATTTAGTTTGTCTACTTTAAGACTAGACTGAAGTACTTCTTAAGCTTAAAACTAACTCTAAGCGTATAACAAGTGAATGATAGGTAGTTAGAGTTCAACTGGTTTAGAATGATTTCTCTCCTGAACTGACACAAGACCGAGTACACTACTTGTGACATCAAACCAAGACAACAAAAATAAATGACCGTGCGGTATCTCTAAATAACTTAGCCGGTAACACAGCGGATAAAACACTTGTCGACCATTCACATGGTCCATACTTCGGTCCCCAGCAGATGCACGCAGCTCACTGCGAAATACATAATAAAAACATCATTTTCTATCATTTTATTGTCTGTCTGCTGACTGCTTAAGTTATTTGTGTTGTGATTAACTCTGTTTTTTCTTGAATTCTACTGAAATAATTCAGCTTTCCTGTGCATCTGTAATCGAAGCATCTCCTGTTATGACAGAAGGATCATGTGATGTTTGGATATGTGCATCAGATGGTTATACTGGTTATATCTGCCTTTTCAATGCTCATCCAAAGCCTAGTATCTATTTTAATATTCCATTGTCTGGTTGTACTTCAAGAATCACATGTATATGCGCTATACCTGGATTCATGCATCCTGGAATGAGACGGTTAGTTTTAAATATTTATTTAGTTCATGTAGCTTAAACCTTTCACATATTTTGTATTCTGAAATTATTCTGTATAATTTTAATGTTTTTATCGTTTCTTCATCAGTAGAATGTTTAGTAACTAGGCATGTAGTCCATGTTCAATTCTTACCTGACGTTCTCCTAGACCTTGCCTGGCCTTCATTAAGCCCGTAAAAGAATAAAGGTTTAACCTGAAGCTAGAAATCCAACCCTGTTATCCAGCGTCACAGTTACTGAAGCTTCACATCTCAACGGTGAAGCCTTAAGTTCTATTTGAATCTGAAAGGAATACAAAAAATAATGTCATTAGACCTCATACCGATTCGATGTGTTTATACTTGCTTCGTTATACATCTCATAGAACAGCTGTAAGACAATACTGCATGCCAAGTAATCCACAACGGGAAACTTACGGAATCCTTCAGAGTAAAGACGGGAGTAAGACAAGGCTGGGTGCCTACTATCGCCAATCGTCTTCCTGATTGCAGTAGATTGGATAATATGACAGAAAACGGGCAATCAGGAAACAGGGATAAAATGGACTCACACAGAAAACTTGGAGAATCTGGACACCGCCGATGATATATGTTTCATTTTCCCCAAATTGGAAGATAGGCAAGTGAAAATCAACCAGTTGGCAGAAGAAGCATTCAGAGGAGATAGGACTTCAGGTGAACATAGAGAACACAGAGGTAGGTGATGAAGATTAATGGCTAACAGCAACTGCAACAGCAACAACAACAGACAACAATCAGCATAAATAGGGGAAATCTGAAAGAAGCAGCCTCTTTCACCTACCTACTTATCTACCTGGGAAGCATTGTTTCACCTACAGAAGGAACTGACGAGGATATCAAAGCAAGGATCGGAAAAGCAATAAGAGCTTTCATTACTCTCAAGCCTGTGTGGAGGTCAACAGAACTTAGCATCAAAAATACGATCCGGATTTTCAATTCCAATGGGAAGTCAGTGCTACTATACGGATTAGAGACTTGCACTGAGTGTCACATAGGGCACTTCGAACAAACTGCAGACTCTCATCAACATCTATCTTCGCTCAATACTCAGTCAAAATCAGATGGCCAGAAAATATCAACAGCAGGGATCTCTGAGAGCAAACCAACCAGGAATCGATTCTGCAACAAATAAGCAGAAGAAATGGAGGTGAATTGGAATGGTCATACTCTGAGGAAACCATCAATTGACATCACTAGACAAGCCCTCGAAAGTAACCCGAAAGAAGAGTGGCGAGTTGGTCATCCAAGCGTGACTTGGAGGAGGTCATGTGAAGAGAAGATGAAACCATGTGGACAGACTTGGAGCCAGGTGAAAACTCTAGCAGAGAACCGAATGCAATGGAGATGTGCGACTGAAGCCCTATGTTCCTCTAGGAATTAAAAGAAATAATATAAATAATAATATTTGCTTCCTTGTTAGACAGAAGTCAATTATTGTCTTACAGTCGGTCGACAATAGATTTTTTTGGTTACAGGATTTCATCATGAGATGACAGAGGTTAGAGGACCATTAATAAACCTGCAGGGAGAACTGGACAGCTGTTACATCCCAGTTAGTGACTCTCCACAGGACACACCCAACACAGGAGGTTCGGACTTCGGACCTTCCGGTCACGGAACGAGCTGGCTCGTAGACCATTAGGCCACTGGGACTCGATCCAGTGCCCAGTCCATGATTTCCAGCTTCTGCCAATTCGTGACATAGCACGCCCACTAACCTATATCTTTGACGAGAATTGGCAGAAATTGAGATTCATGGACCGGTCATTGGATCGAGTCTCAGTGGCTTAATGGGCTACGAGCTGGCTCGCCTTGTAACCAGAAGGTCCTGTGTTCGAACACTGTTGGCGTCTTATTACTGATGAAGGGTCCCAAACTAGGAATGAGGAAACAGCTGTCCAATACTCAGTCAATCAGATTCCTACAAAACAATACTTGAATAGGTTTTTTTTACAATGCACGATAAATTTTCGCACTTCACTATCTTTTGAAACCAGTTTGAATTTATAGTTGACTGACTAGACTAGACCGAAACGCTCAGTTTGTGTCAACTTATCAGTGCCCATCGTGGATACTTCGGCGATTTTGGATGGCTAGTGGTTAGCAGAAGAATCCAGGACATGAATTTTGTCTTACTCATCATTCTGTGGTTGCATCTACCTACATCCACAGTGACGCCCTTTATACCATTTGGCCTCACCTTGTAGATGATCTTGAAAGACGACTCTGGTTGAGCTACATGGCTTGAGTTCACCAAGTGCTCGAGAATTGAGCTAGTAATTGTCTCGCATTGTTTTTTTTGCTAACCATTCCGGATAATGTTAATAGATGCGTTGGAAAGTGTGTGTTTTGTGCCGCCAATAAAACGTACTCCACACGAGCGGGTGAATTTATAAAAACATTGAGGTGGCTCAAAGCGGCAGATTATCCTTCACACATCCATTGATCATTTATTGGGTGTATAAATTCATACGTAGCTCAGCCATAAAGAAGGCTTTCCTCAGTGGCCTGCATAAGCAATTCTTTAGGATCTCAGCTGCGGTATCACCTTTAAATTCAACGCTCATAAACAGCAGTTTCTTCGTCACCATCTGGATTCTTTCAGGCTATTCCTTTAACTTGTTTTTCCTGATAAATCTTGGAGCATATCCATTCTCTATGAGGACTTGTTTGAGTCGTTCCAGTTCCCCGCCGTTTGTACAGCTGGAACATATCCTTCTTATTCAAGTGGATCAGACTTTTCTGTCTTCTCAGAGTGACCCAGCTATTCAGGGCTTAGCAAATGAATCGACATTGCTTTGGCAGTTTGAAGAAGTCTGATTCGTAAATTTTCAGGAAGACTACTTCTTACTCTGTAGACGACTTTGAAGTTTGTTCGGGGTGTAGCTTGATGTCCGGATTCCATCAGATGTTCCAAGATGGAGCTGCGGGGGCATCAGTTTTCTCCTTCACTTGCCAAATCCTGAACTCTACCTACAGAAGCAGTTCGTTCAATCACTGCACTTGCAATGGGCGTAATCTATCTTATTACCCAACAAGTAAATTCTACCTAATCTCTTTTTTCTGTCTCTTCATTAGTATTATTTTGTCGTTACCATTGTAATATTTTAGATTTTGAACTTTCCTGTTCTCTACCCACACCCGATTTAATTTCCACACCTCACTACTACTGTTACTGACTTGATTAACGCTCAATTTCTATTCATTTATGTTACGTCATCCAATTTATTTGCTCAACTTTAGTCCTAATTTAAATGGCATTTTTCTCTACCCCGCTTCTACTTAGTCTCCACCTGTAATTACCTCTGTTGCTACCCTGACCTGAGTTGAAACACTTTAGTCAATTATATTACGTCATCTAACTTACTAATTCAATCTTACTTTATGAATTTAGATAAAGCAATAAGAAGAAGTAATTTGTCTGAATCGTCTATTGTATGTATTTGAGCAACACATTTCGAACAATCTGATCACACACGAACTTGTCATGGGAATATGTATATATGAAATTAATAAAGAGGTAAAAGGTGAGAAAATAGACTTAGGTCAAGTTAAAAGGACATTTTCAAGGTCAAAACAACAGTGAAGACCACCAAACCAAATAGCAGAGGTAATAGTACATCTGCTATGGTATCAAAACAAAATTTACCAAAGAAGGTTTAATGTGATGACAAATTGTTTTTGAACGCATAAAGGTGGCTTGAACTTTCTAATTGCAAAGGCTTCCACAAACTTTAGGATGCGCTCCAAACACGTTTTATAGATAAGTTTAAAAGATATCTTAACGTCAATTTTATGGCCTGTTTCTATAATATGTTTCTCAATAGAAGAGCTAGGTCTCCTCTTCTCACCGTTAATAGGTTCTGAAGATTTCATTTGTTTCTGCAGCCATAGCAGATGTACTATTACCTCTGCTATTTGGTTTAGTGGTCTTCATTGTTACTTTAACCTTGAAAATGTCCTTTTAACTTGACCTCAGTCTATTTTCTCACCTCTTACCTCTTTATTAATTTCATACATAATCTTGTCATAACAGAAGATAAGGGCTGGCAACAGATCGTTTTATTACGGAAATCAGCACGTATTTATGTATATTTCCTATACATTATTATAGCTTATTCAAGCAGACAAACACAGTCTTCTGAATGGTTGTTTCTAGTTTCTCAGAAAGTTGAGCCATATATTTGCGAATCCTATTTGCCCACGTTAAGTCTGCTGTGATTGGTTGTTGAATCAGCCTTGTTCATGTTTTCTCACGGCCAATATTAGTGGCCTAGATATTGACGTAAATTAATGTCTACCAATTGGCTAGTAGCCTGCTCTCACTACAGTCTTACATTAGCTGCTGTCTGATTAACTTTGTTTCTATATTAGATCACTCTTGTATTACCTGATTAATTATCTAAACTTGACAAATCTCATGTACACACACAGAAATAATTATACATAAATGCCAATGCCAGCTATATGCTTAAATACCAATACATTAAAATATGGCAACATCAAATTATCCACAAGGAGAGCCGATATACTAACTGAAACTATAGACTTCGCGTAAGTGGAATCAATCAATGAGGAATTCGAATGTTTCAAGAGACATTTATTAATGATTTTCAGCTCACTGGATACAGAAATACACTTTATAATTGAAGATATCTGTGATGAGTATACAGCAATACTTCTGTAGAAATAAACAGGCTGTATAATTATTCATACAAATAGTAATTACTATAAATGCTGTAAATTTTATGATTCAGTTCTCAGCGATTGTGTACGTCGGTTATTCACTGTGTGTAATGTTCATCAGCCGTCCAGGTGGTCGCGGTTCCATTCCCAGCGGATATACACTCCTAGACTTCACATAGTTTACCAGCCGTTAGTAAGCCAGGAAAAGCAGAAAGATTGAGTGTGGAATGTAGAATTCTATCCCTTTCCTCTTGAAACAGAGGAATGGAAGCAAAATATGCTTAGTAAAATTTATAAAATAAAATGATTTGACGAACCTTTCGTTTCCTCTCAAACAATACGATATTTCTAAACACAAAAGTTAAGAAATTCCATACTAGTTTGTTCACTAGATGTATCACACAGTGAGTGAGACAGTATTATTTACTGGATGACGAAGATTCGAACACAATTTATTGCTGTTCATAATCATAACAATTGTAATCACACGACTTTGAAACTTAAGTTTTATATTTTTCTTTGTTTGCTCCTATTTGTCGTGGGGGTAGTAGAATTTTCCAGATGTCTGTGACAGGTGATGAATCATTCCTGTCATATGTATTTGCAGTTGATTCGATAAACAAAGCTTCTGTTATCAATCTCTCGCTATACCCTGTGACATTAGATTTAAAACGGTCATCTTATCCCATCCCATCCTATGTATGATTGTGTGCAGTTGCATGTGGTGAGTGCTGTGGCTGAACTACTCTCTAAATTTCTTATCTTATTTGGGTCAAGTAATCCAGATTTTGCTAGGGTTTTGTGCTGCTCTGCTAGTATGACCTCCCCAATTCTACTACTTCGACCAATGTATTTGACCTGACAATCATTCCAGTAGGATATTAGATAAACTAAATCGCTTTGTTTATTTGGCTCCACAGGATTGATTCTTTAACCGAAAAAGGTTTGGATGTCAGCCACTTGTTAAGAATTCTCCTTAAGGTTTCCGAGGTTCCTTCTTTGTATGGAATTACTACTGATGATTTAGATTCCTTATTGTTGGTGTTGTCATTATCTTTCGCATGTTCCACATGCATGTCGAAATTAATATTATTATTATTATTACTATCACCGTTTATTTTATTTTTACATTTCCTGAATTATTTCCTGACTAATTTATCATTTCAGTTATTAGGTTTCAAGGCTTCTCTTATATGTCTCACTTCCTGTCTTAGATTTTCCTTGGTACTACTTAGATTTTGTGCTCTGTCACTTAAACACTTTACCATTTCGTTTTTTACTAACATAGGATGGGATGATCAGTAGTCCAAATATCTGTTTGAATGTGTGGATTTCCTGTAAGTACACTAGTGTTTAACTTCCCATCTTCTTTCGTTTTTACGCTGCAATCTAACACTGGAAGTTCCTCTTCCTGACTTTCCAATTCATAAGTGAATTGAATTGCCTCCATCTTTGAGGTAATTTGTTCGAAAAATCTATCCATATCCTGTGTTCTTTGTACAGTACTGTTTCACTGTGTGATACATCTAATAAAGAAACTAATATGGAATTCAAGTGATGGTTTGTAGGGATTTGATTGGTTTCAGGATTTCATCATGAGCTGACATTAGTTAGAGAACCATTGGAAAACCTGGGAGTACTGGACAGCTGTTTCGTCCTAGTTTGGGACTCTTCAGCAGTACGCACCCACTGGGATTCGAACCCAGGACCTTCCGGTTACAAGGCAAGCTCGTATACCATTAAGCCACTGGGACCCGATCCAATGGTCCTTGAATTCTAACTTCTGCCAATTCACGATATAGCGCAACCGCTAGCCAATGTCTTCGGCGAGTATTTGTCCTCACATCCAACCGGCTGGAATTACTTACTACCATAATGCACAAGTTTTACACATACATTGAAAGTTTAGGAAACCTTAGTTTAGCACCTGTTTACTCTACATAGATTCAACTGAAAAATTATAGGGACTTGGGTTGATTAAAATTAAATTTTCCCAATACTAATCAACAAAAATAACGAAATTCTGCTGACAAGTCGTATATATAAAGTCATAATGGATTTACTATTCATTCAGCCTACGGACTTGATTCTCCAATTGCTTGTTTGTAGGAATTCGGTTGGTTTCAAGTTTTATCACTTATCACTGGCATGCACTGAAGAACCACTGAAAACTATGATGTACTGGACAACAATCCTATTCCACTTTTGAACTCTTCAGTGACCAGTGGTTTCCACCAGATTAGGTGGGAACACATCCTCTCCGTTGACATCAACTGGTCATTGCGGTAAAAGTCTCGAATCGATAGAAGGTTGAATTCACTATTCATAGGAATCCATCAGAGGACATTTCTTGATAAACTGAAGGTTCTGGATTTGATCGATGGTGGAATTATGGGTACTTGATACTAGAGAGTGTTATGAAAGTATGAAAAAGCTATCCAGTACTCACAGGTTCAAAATGGTTCTCTAAATAATATCAGTCTGTAACCAAACTAGAAACTTCATTGGTTACAGGATTTCATCATGAGTTGACATTTTTTAGAGAACCACTGGAAAACCTGCAGGGAGTACTGGACAGTTGTTTCGTCCTAGTTTGGGACTCTTCAACAGTATACAACCACCACCACGGTTTTAAACCAGGACCTTCTGGTTACAAGGCGAGCTAGCTGACAGACTATTAAGTCACTCGGACCCGATCTAATGGTCCACGAATATTAACTTGTGCCAATTCACGACATAGCGCGACCCCAGCCAATGTTTTCGGCGAGTATTTGTCCTCACACCCGACCTGCTTCACCCTATTGGTCACGACTTTTCACTGGAACCCCAGGTAACTACATACCTGAATATGGCCAGTCACCAGTGAGCATCTCATTGATATTCAAGCATTGGTTTGTGGGGATTTGATTGATTGGTTACTTCATTCTTCACTGTCTTTTACATCAAGTACTTCTAGAAGGTTTTAATTCTTCATGATTTATATTTCTTGTATGCTCATAAACTCATCACAAAATTAACAGTTTTCATTATTCAATTATTGTGTTGATTTTCTTTTTTATACAGAACATCCTACAGTCTTGGAAGCCAAAGTATGCGTTCACGATGTACCGTAGAAAAGAAACGTTCAATTACAACAGATCCACCAATCCTTGAAGTGGAACAATCAGCTCTTGAAGAAAGTAGTTCACAATCAAAATCATCCGAAACAGCAAAAAAGAAAGCAGATTATGATACTGGTCGCAAAGAAGAAACACATTTAGATACTACTTCGCGTAAGACACAAGAAATGACGCCACAGGAAATAACTGAAAGAAAGGACAGTATTTCACAGGATATAAGCTCCGGTTCACATTCAACTACTCCACCAGACACACCGACCAATACAGAGTCCACCCTGAAATTATCCGATGTAGATGAATCTAAAACAGACGATGATCTTCAAGCTTCTAAAACTTCTGGTGACCTTGCCGAATCTAAGACAACTGATGCACAAAAAGAAAATGAGTCGAAAAATCAAACAGATTGTCCCCAACCTAATACATCAGAAAGTATAAAACCTGATTCACAAGAATCTGGGAATTCAGTTGTAGCTATCACTTATGCCTTCGATGCTGATGATCCGACATCGAATGAATCCGACTCTTCAGAGATCAGTGAAACTGAAGCTGAAGGTGGTAATCAGCAAATTACTGCTGAAAATGTATCAGATAACTCGTCTTCCAAGGAGACTGATACAAATATGAAATCGAATGTAGAAAACAAGAAAAAAGGTAAACAGCTTTAGGAGATTTTTGGTTTTTTGGTTTTGAAATTTTATTTCCTTCACATTTATAACTACTATGCTTTTATTGCATGGAGGATTTCATCATGAGCTGACATCAGTTAGAGAAACACTGGAAAACCTGGGAGTACTGGACAGCTGTTTCCCCCGTCCTAGTTTGGGACTCTTCAGCAGTATGCACCCCGGGGTTTGAACTCAGGACCTTCTGGTTACAAGACAAGCTCGTAGACCATTGATTTTAATTTAACCAATTACTGTCACACATATGACCGGGGAAGGTGACAGGATTTATACTTTTGCAGGTAACCTTAAATAGCTGAAGACGCGTTCCTGATCGCCAAAGGATGGATTGTTACTTCCAGTCTAGTTTGCATTGATCATCTATTGGTTGGTTTGTCCCCACAGTCGGAGAAAATGGGGATGGATCAGGCATACTTTGAGAAGGCCGTCGAATGACATCGTACTCCAGGCCCTTAAGTGGAATCCCAGTGGTAAGCGACGACTGGGTCGTCGGCGAGAGGGTCATATGGTGGAGATCGTGAAGGAAAGAGGTGAGAGATTGTGAGCAACCGTGGTCTAAGCTGAGAAAGATGGTAGAAGATAGAACGAAGTGAAGAAATGTTGGTGAAGCCCTATATTCCACTCGAGAATATTAATAACAATAATATTTTCCGTTGAGACTGTACTATAATTAGGTGGAATAGTAAAGAAAGTTGATCACGAAGTCCTAAAAAGACATCGATTGGTGGTCGGCAGAAAAATCTTGGCCTGAATAAAAACGGTTGTAGATTATTTCGTGTAAATGCTCTCCACTTTGTCGTATTCATTTTATGGTTGATTAAGATTGTCATTTACGGGAGAAAAATTAAGAAAGTTTTAGGTATGTCACTACTACTACTACTACTAAGTCTCTTGAATTGCTTGATTTTGATAAAGGTTGTGATATAAGTGATGAGGTTGGAAATCAAATCATATATATGAGACCGGTTTGACCTGGAAAAGTTGTAAAGCGCAGTTGACTGCAATGTTTGAAATATGTGTTGTCCAAACGTACTCACAACCTACCTTTGAGAACTATGGGCGAAAATCCTATTTTCTTTAACATGTGATTCACTCCTGTCAGATGTAAGATGATGTTGCAAGACTAGTCTGTACCAACTAACAGTTTAAAGACGGGCAGCAGCATATTAACCACTTCAATTATTTGAAATCTTTCAACTTACCTCATTTCTGGTATAGACGGGATATCCGGCAATTGAACAAAGGACATGTTTGCTTACGCACAATAGTTTTCTTTGTCCTCACTTATGGCTGTAAGACATTGCTGGTAGATGTGAAAACCTCAGGAGGCTAACTGTCTTTGATCTGAGATGTTTGTGTTCTATCTTCCGTGTTAAGCGGTTTAATATGGTGTCGAATATTAGGGTTTCGAGTAGAGTGTTAGGTGAGGGGGGAGAACCAATTAATTAATTAGGTCGTAAACCTATACTGATTGAGATGACTGTACCACGTGTACACATCCCAAGGCACTGCCTCCCACCCTCCTCGTGTAATGTTAGCTGACAGAAAATGATATTAAGAAAAACTTTTGGGCGATGAAAACAAAATTGGGCATGAGTACATGAAATCTTTGACTGCTGACCTGAGCCAGACGTGGACAGAGTTGTAAACTGTTTGACTGACTTCGGTAATAATGTGGTGAGAGCTGTCTGCTAGCCTAAATTGTTAGACACCAATTTACGTCAATGTTTACGTCCCAAATCTTGGTCATGAGAAAAAAAACAGGAACAAAGTCTAACCTTGAGGGACTCAACAACCAATCACAACAGACTTAGCTTGGACGGATACGATTAGCAGATATATCAACGGACTGTCTAAGAAACGGCAACAAAGAGATGACAGAATAACCTTCAGCTCGAAAACAACCAATCAGAAGACGTTACCGCTGTGCTAAAAATAACACCAATAATAATATACATAAAAATCTATAAATATCTGTTGATTTTCTTAATACAGGATCTGTTTCCTGACCCTTGTCATATGTCGTTACAATATGACTTAAGATCATTGTCGCAGGCGCAGATGCATTCACTCGTTTAATTCTCTCAGAGATTCATTAAAATGCTCATGTTTCTCCATGCCTTCATTCTTCATACCACACATTTCAGTTCATTGGAGTTATTATGAATTTTTACCCTTCCCTTTGCATAATACCTGACTTATTGCACAGCTGTGCAAAGTTCTACACTAAAACATCATGCAGTCTGTAAGCCTTATAGATTCATGAATTGTGGCTTAGCTGGTAACTGAGGGGAAACTAATGTAACGTTTATCAAACCTGTAGGCCGACTCAGTCCTATCAGCCAAGTTTGCAGCCAGTGTATCCAGTATATTTATACAAGTGATTAGTAGCTCATTTGTGAGGCTTTTGACTGCAGTATTCAACAACATGGCTTAGAAGTTCAGAGGGGTATCTGCTCCTTTAGGGTTAAAGACACGTCTTGTTGACAAGTGCCAGTAAACACCAGATCTAGAAGCAAGATATCCCACCAACTGTCTTCAGCCATCTAATAAGAATGAACAAATACATGTTTACAATTTACGAAGACGCTGATCATTTATGTTACTTAGAAAGGGAATTATACTTCACAACGCACTCATCACCGAAACAAGAAAAACCGACAGTTGTCAGCTCTATACAGTAAAGTCATGAATCACTCGTAGAATATTGTATCCGTTCTCATAATCTACCTTTCTCTTAATAGGTTATGCAACATTTGAGGTTCTAATACTCAAAGCGTTTTCCTCATGAATATGTTACTCATTACTAAATGAGTTAGAAACACAATAGCTTAATTCTCTGCACAATGAATAGTCTGTCTGAGACCGCTTAATATTATGTTGATTATGCATGCATTGGGTTCTGGGAGTCATCAGCACAGCTCCAGTGTGATTGGTCCACCGCCGTCATTTTGGATGGTTTTAGAACTGCTCTCAAAGTTCCCTTTCCTTTTCGTTTATTCTTCTCCAAGTCACATACTCAACTCGTTGCTCACCAGAGAGGATTCTCTCGAAGACCTAGTCAGCGTATGTCCAATTCATCTCCATTTTTCTCCACATATTTGTTGGGTTTTAAGTTGTCATTTACTTCTTTAACCAGATTAACTTGTTGATTATCCTTTCTATCTAGCCATGTGATCAGGAGACTCACGTAAAGGCAGACATTAATGCAAGTATACAATAGCCTGTTGAAAATGCTTTACATGATGTTTGCGCAAAGTCACTGAGCTATATAGAACCACCGATTCAAAAACAGTGTAGTGAATTCGAATAAAATTCCTTATAAGGGTTATGTGAGGAAGATTTCTACAAATGCTTTTTTCTACCTTCATTCTTTTATTATTTATTATTATTTCCTTTAATTCCTAGACGAACATACGGCTTCAGCCGCACGTATCCACTACCTTCGGTTTTCTGTTAGAGTTTTCACCTGGCAACAAGTCTGCCAACATGCTTTCATCTCCTCCTCACATGACCTTCTCCATGTCAACCTTCCACTGGAAGGCTTGTCTAGTGATGTCATTTGATGGTTTCCTCAGAGTATGACCAATCTACCTGCATTTCTTCCTGTCTGTTTGTTTCACAATCGGTTCCTGGTTGGTTTGCTCATTGCAAGATATCCCTGTTGCTGATCTTTTCTGGCTGGCCATCTGATCTTAAATATCGAGCGTAGACAGGTGTTGATGAAGGTCTGGAGTTTGTGTAAGGCACTTTTTATGACGCGCAGTGCAAGTCTCTGATCTGTATAGCAGCACTAACTTCACATTTTTCATGCTGAGTGCTGTTGACCTCCACACAGGCTTGAGAGTGATGAAAGCTTGCCTTGCTTTCCGATCCTCGCTGCTTTGATATTCTCGTTAGTTTCCACCTTCATTTTTACTGTCTGTAATTGAAGCAGCGCTACTCAGCTACATGAAACAGACGACTTCTTCTAGATTTCTCCCAATGATATTGATTGGCGCTTGTTGTTGTGTTGGTATTCCACTATCACCATGATATCCGTGTTCTCGATGTTCACATGAAGTCTAGTCTGTGCCGCCTTTTCTGCCACCTCGTTGGTTATTTTACTTGTAAATATTGCAGTTTTTCAACATTAAATATATATATATCAGCCGCGGAGGATAGGTCTTCTAAAGGCTTTTCCTTGCTCCAACGCATATCAGTCTACTTGCTTCCTTTGATCGGTTAAATATTTAAGTCCATCGCAATAAATAAGATTGTCGCTAACAGTAAGCGTCCTTGCTTTGCTCCTCTCTCTTCGCTTTAGACGCTTCAGAGAAACAAAGAAAGCGCCAAGCACATTTATAATATTTACAGACTTATCGGAAAGTTATGTATAAAAAGTATCCGACGCCTAAGTGCAAATAAAACGAAATTCCTTTGGATGTATATATATATATATAATGTCCTTCTTTTTGGAAGAGAAGGTCTTTGTCCCATTGTGTCTGCTGATGTTGTACTTTATGGTGAATGAAAATAAAACATGCGAATCTTGCTTTTCTAACATATGTTTAACACCTGTGATAAGTATATGTGATATCATAACTGTTTATATCTCCTGCCTACTTCTCCCTGCTGGCGCATTTATATATATTTATATATGTGGTGTGTGCTACTAATAAAACTTATCAGTAGTGTAAATTTAAAGAGATTTTCATCACCATATAATATCAAATAGCAGGGAGATAGTTTTGAAGCTAGGGAAAGAAAATGATCCAGATTTGTGCAGATACATGGGAGACCTGAAAGGAACACAATTGGAAGACCGGAAATAACAGAAAACGGCAGATCTGTGCAAATAGTGATTTGAAGATGATGATAATAACAATAATAATAATTTGCTTTATTCCAAAACAGCACTTGTGATACAGAATGGAATTCTCTGCATTTTACTACAGTACTGCATCCAGTTTGTACAATAACAATAAATAAAATTCTACATATATTATGGTTAATTTCAGTTAGTTTTGACAACAACATATTAGTCTATTGGTACCAAAGCTAAAAGTGAACAGAATGTTTGAGGGTGTTAGAAAAGTAGACGCTAGCATATTTACTGGCGTAAGCGGTAACAAAAAGGTTGAGATATACAGAGTGTGATATAACGAAGAAGAGTGTTTTAAGTGGAGTTTGTAAGGAAGAGGGAAACAAAGCGGCACATAACAGAAAAAATAGATAGAGAGAAAAGGAAAAGAAAGAAAGAAAACGTTGTACCGATAAATGATATGAGTAGGAAAGATGAGATCCAAATTGTCCTACTGACTACTTAATAAGTTATAATTTTCACGCCTAATGCTTTCTTTGTCGCACAGAGCACGAGCTAAGTAGGATATGGTGGAGGTTTCGTACTTGCTAGTGTGAGCATATAGTTTTCTATATAGGCTTCTGGTCTGGTCTGGCTTGATGAGATACAAGGGGAGAGTTGTGAATGAAGAGGGTGGTGTGAGTTAGATAAAATGGATTTAGCCCATTTTTCGCATGAGTCCCCATGCCTGTCGACCAGAATGTTAACAAGCTGGTTTAGTGGCACGTTACATACCCTGCTGACATACGTTACCACCCTAAGTCATAAGATATAGTCCTTCTTCAGTAACCCTGGAAAAACTAATGGGGAACAATGGAGAATACTAGGCAGGATGCAAGAGTTAACGAATCGTAAGAGTAAGGGTTGGGCTATTCCAGAATGTTTTAACTTCTTGACGTAGAAGGTAAGACGGAATATTTTCCTAGAAATCATCATGATATGAGACGACCAGGAAAGATCAGCAGATAGAATGACGCCAAGATATTTAATTTCCGACTTGGTTTCTATTTCAGTGCCATCTATGTTGCACACCTCGTGAGTGCTAACCAGTTTGTTCAAGTCAGATTTATGCCTAAAGGTGAAATTGACTGTTTAACATTTAGAAGAGGGCTTTAAGCTTAGACCGTTTTCCTGGGATCACTGGCTGATTTCTGATAAAAAGCCATTTAGTTTGGAGCAGTCACTTTGACACTTGACAGGCAAAGATACAGTCAGGTCGTCAGCATATTTAACAAAATTAATGTCATTTGAAGATGGTAAGTCATGAAGAAAGAAAGAAAATAGAAGTGGGGAGGCTACAACACCTTTGGGGACACCAGCTTCAGTGAGCACAGCAGAGGAGGATTTACCTTTGTATACAGTGTACCGCATTCTGTTTGAGAAATAGGAACGCAACCAGTTTGTGACGCAGGACTCAGTTGGTGTCATCGAGAGCTTATTTTGCAAGAGACATCTAGCTACAGAGTCAAAAGCAGAAGTGAAGTCGAGAAACGCGCAGCGGGCGTATTTGGCACCTTTATCTAATGATGAGACGATACTGTTGTGTAAGACGGTTGCAGGATTCAAAGTGCTCCTACCCTGTCTATAGGCAAATTGTTTGGGGTCTTCAAAACTTTTAAGGGAGGGTTCAAGTTAAGGAAGTAGTGGTTTTTCCATCAGCTTTAGAAACGGGGAAGTAATGTGAATGGGTCTGAATTTTATATTCTTGCTATTTCCAGGTTTAGGGACAGGGACTATTTTAATGTCTTTCCATGCAACAGGTACAATGTTTTTGGAAAAAGAAACGTTTGGGCTATTAGTAAGTGGAGAACATAAAGCATCTGCACATTGTTTTAGAACATAAGCAGGTACGCCATCAGAGCCAAGGCTACGTGATGGTTTAAGCGTTTTAAGACATTTTAGAAAATCAAGAGTAGTATTTAAGTCAATTAAAGTTATCAACTGCGTGATTTGTAACACTAGACGTATAATTATAGTAGAAGGAGAACGTGTCTATAATTTCGCTTTATAGTGGTTCCAAATTCCAGATAAACATTCTTTGAACAAGTTTCTCGTCTTCTATCGTTACATATACAACAGAAAGTTATCTGCAACGCATTACTCTCTAACACCTTTTCTGCCTTTAACTAATCTGCTTTATTCATCATCATCATCATATATAAAATAAAGTTTGCTATCTTGTTGGTGTTGGCTAGCAGTGTAATCCAGTCTGTACATTCTAGAAATGATACAGAAGATTTGTAGCTCAGGTGGATGATTTTTATTTGGTTGCGCTGTCTGAACTGGATAGTTAGTTTGCGAGGCTTTCATCACCCCAACACACTAGGCAACATCTTCAGCGCATACTTCAATTTCAAGTGATCTTTTAGATTTCTCCAATAGCTCATTATTCTCCTCGGATGTGATTAATTGGTTTAGGAATTGACGTTGTACACAAACCAACAAAATCACTTCACCCAGTCAGCCGTGTGTCAACCAAAAGACTCAACAGCGACAAAACATCAAAACCAACATCATCTACAAAATAAATTTTAACAAGTACGAAAAACACTACATTGGCCAAAGTGGACGTCCCCATCGTCTTCGTTTGCATGATCATAAGCTAGCCATCAAAAGACATGATATCCACTCCCTCGCTCATATCGCTCACTGCATACAGAAAACCACGGATATCTATTCGACTGGGACATCGTTCAAATATTAGACATAGGAAACAACAAGAATGCTAGAGAATTCTTAGAAGCCTGGTATTCCAGTCAATCATCAATCAATAGACATATAGAGATAGACAAAATGCACCGACCGATAGAAAGTAACCTCACGCACACAAACGGTCAAAGTTCGAGTCCAAGAAACAATCAGTTCCAATACAGGTAGTCTAGAGGGTGTGAAAACACACAGAAACAACCAAAGAGTCATGTTCAAGGTCACCCATCAGGAGAGATGACTAATAAACTTGTGGAGAAATCGAAAGGTTCATTTCCTCGAATTGCTGTATGCACTAAAGATGTCGCCTAATAGGGCGATGAAAGCTTTGCAAACTGACTATTCAGCTCAGAGAACACAACTAAATCCAAAAAAAACATTTCATTCTATTTGGGACTCATCATCCGGAAGTACCTGCACTCCTATTGTAACTTGAACCCAGTCCAAATCACTTCAAACACTAGATTATCACCCACTAGGCTACTGGGTTATATGCACCGATTCTAGTGAAGAAGATATCAGTGGTTATTCAATTTATTTCATTTACATTTCCTGCTGATCGATCAATGCAAACATATCCAATCACTGTGAATCAGACACATCCAGATAACCATTCCCAGTTTGGAAGAAATGAGTACAATTCATCAACAGAGATCAAGCATTTCGGGTTAAACACAAATCAACAAACAAAATTTGTTTGATCAAGGATTGATATTAGTCCGAGAGTTATTGAAAACTGTGGAGTACTGGACAGTTGTTTCGTCCCAGTTTGAGGCTCTTCAACAATACTCAGCCACAGGATCTAGGACTTTCCTATTCCATTAGATTGCGTCTCAGTGGCTGAATAGTTTACAAGTTCTAAAACGCGTTGCATTTAAATTGTTTATAACCATTTCGATTAATAGCTTTCTACACCTTATATCTCACTGAAATGACTTTAACGAAGTTATTTTAATCACAATTTCAATTATATAATTCACAATGTAACCTCTTTTATTCTGTATTTTAACTTTGTATTATGTAGAAGGATATTTAAACTGTCAAGGAAAGAACAATTATCTTAGCAGACCAGCTCAACCACTGATGTGGTTAGGTACTGAAGAAGGAAGGTAAGTTAAATTTGTATAAAGCTCTATTATGATGCATTACGCTATGTACTACTGATAGGTTGATATGAGTAGTTGAATGAGACCCACAAGAACCAGTAATGTTTGCAAGCCAAGCAATCAGGTCTGAGTGATCTAAAATAATGCTTCTCTCATTCAGAACCAAGCTGTTCAGAGGTGCAACTGGTTCGACTTCGCTCAGGAAGCTAAATCAGTAAGAATCACCAGAATTCTGGCTGGACACTTGGGCGAAGTGGTATAATATTAAACTAAATTCACAGTATTCAAATTAATTTCATATTATTTGTAAGAAATTATATATGTGAAATCTCAGAAGATGTAGACAGTCGGGACTTTGACCAAGTATTATTAATTTAGTGATATATATATCCATTTTTATTTATTAGTCAGGATTTGTTATGCATCAGCTAACATCACACCTTCATGTCTGTTCACACTGTTAGTGTCTAGAATTTTATGATTCGACGTGTTTTCAAAATTATGGTGTTTAGGATCAGAGTTTAGTTGAAGCACCCTGTCGAACTTACTGCAATAGAATGCATATCCTATATCCGTAGCTGTTGAGTCACCTGACAACTCCAGTAGGTCGAATGAAACAGCTCAATCTTCAAAAAGAAGACAGAGCAATAAGATCTACAGGGTGATTTTTTGTTTAAGTCGAAAGATAGATCTGATCGGAGAGAGGAAATAATCCTTCCTAAAAGCTATATTTTCAAGTTGTACAGTTGCATTTTTATACTAGGGAAGACAATATTAACTGGTAGGAGAAATTGTTCATTCAACCGACGCATACGATAATCACCGTGTTTTCTGAGGTAGTGAATTTGATTTGGATGAATCATAAGAATAAATCACCTTTGAAAGAGTCTTTAGCTCAATGATAAATTGCTTGCCATCCATACAAGAGGTACAGGATTGATCCCTGACCAGCAAACTCCCAACCTCCCTCTGGAAATGACGAAAGGTCGGGCAGGAGATTAGCAAACCTAAGTCCTAAAAACAACAACACGATAGCTAGTGAACCTCCACAGCTCACAGCATTAAGCTCTTTGTTCCATTTAGAAGGCAAAAGAACGGAAAATAATTAATTTTGAAAAGGAGATAAGTTACTCGTAGACACGCTAGTTATTGCATTGATTTAAATAAACAATGAATGTTAAAATGAGATCACTTACATTCCCAGACAGTTGTCAATGACTCACAACTATTGAACCATTGAAAACCATGGAGTACTGGGAGACAGCTGTTTCATCCTAGTTTGGGAATCATCGGCACTACACACCCACCAACAATGTTCGAACCCAACAGCTTCCTGTTACAAAGCAAGCTGGCTCGTACACCATTCATCCACTGGGACCCGATTCAATGACCACTCCATGAATTCTAACTTATATCAATTCGTGATTTAGCGCAACGACCAAGCAATGTCATCGGTGGGAAATCCATCGCCACACCTGACTCGTTGGTAGAAGTTAGAATTCATGGACAAGTCACTGAATCGGCTCCCAGTGGATGAATGGTATACGAGCTTGCCTTGTAACAGGGAGCTATTGGGTTCGAACCCTAGCGGTGGGTGCGTAGTGTCTATGATTCCCAAACTAGGATGAAACAGCTATCTGGCAGTAATCCCTGGTTTTCAATGGTTCTCTAACTGATAAACTCGTAAAAACATAACTAGTCCTTACAAACCAAACTATAGAAAATATTGTGTAAGAGTTACACATGCTGTATAGTCAAACAAACTGCAGTAGCTGCAGTAGGATTCGAAGCTGTTAGCTAATGGTTGATATTCGACTGTATAGACTAGTGAGCCACATGTTGACTGAATCATCACTATGATTATTACTCATCCTTTATGTTTCTAGTGGAACATAAAGCTTCACCTGTACATTGCCATCTCAGTGTGTTTTCTGAAGTCCTTTTCACTTGTCTTCATGACTGCTCAAATGCTTTCTTCCCCTCTTCATACGATCTCCTCCTAATCCATTGTCTCCTATTCGGATGCTAATCTAGATTCTTCTACGTCGTGTCACTAAACGGTTACTTCAGCATTTGTTCAGTCTATCTCTAAATTCAATTTGAATATTTGTTGGCCGACAGAATTCTTGGTTGAACCCCCTGTTCAAAGAGTTCCTTCCTTATTGCTAATCTTTCCAGACAGCCATCAGCTTCACTTGTGGATGACATTAATTGTTGTCCAAGATAATCACTAATCATCTTTTCTACATTCTACAAAGAAAAGTGATACATAATATTTCAGGAAACTTTAGGCCTTTCACATACATTCCTTGTGTATTCTTGTCTATTTTATCTATTCTCTCATACAGCATTTTCATGTTTTATGCAACTGACAATTTGAAGACAAGTCGACTACGCCAAAAAATCAGTTTATCTCACGCTATCAACAGTATTCTACACTTTGATGTACACATTTTTGTTGCCTGTGCAAACGGTCACCTATTTGTATACAAAAGGAATTCAGGTAGGCTAATTAGTGACAATGGAGAAAATGTTTTTTTTTAAAACATGAGGAAGAAAATTCAAAATAATCATTTTTAAATATTATTATATGTGTAAACCTTGGGCATTGTGTTAGTAAGTAATTCCATGTTGGTTTGTTTATTAGATGTATCACACAGTCAGTGAAACAGTATTATTATTTACTGGATGACGAAGTTTCAAACACAATTAGTTATGGTTCATAATCATTCCATCAATTATAATTACACAACTTCGAAACTTGAGTTTTATAGTTTTCTTTGTCCTCTCCTATTTGTCGTCGTTGGAGTAGTAGAATTTTTCAGATATCCGCCTGGACAGGTGTTGAATCATTCCTATTACATGTATTTGCAGTTGATTCGATAAACAAAGCTTCTGTTGACATCAATCTCTCCCTATACCCTGCTACATTAGATATTAAAAAAGTCATCTTATCCCATTCTATTGTATGGTTGTGTTTGACTGCATGTAATGCTATGGCTGAACTATTCTCTAGATTTCTTATCTTATTCGGGTCAACCAATCTAGATTTCGCTAGGTTTTCATGTTCGGCTAGTCCCACTGACTTCCCCTGTTCCACTACTTCGACCTATGTATTTGACCTGAAAATCATTCCAACAGAGTATTAGATAAACTAAATTGTTTTGTTTTAAAGGCTCCACAGGATTTTCCCCCTTTAACTGACAAAGCTTGTTTCGAATTGAGTTCGTGGGTGGTTTGATTGCCAGCCAGTCACTTTTATTCCTTCCAGCATTGTTAAGAATTCTGCGTAAGGTAGTTTCCGAGGTTCCTTCTTTGTATGGAATTACTACTGATGGTTTAGATTCCTTACTGTTGGTGTTGTCATTATCTCGCACATATTTGACATGCATATCGACATTAATATTACTTATTATTATTATGACCGCCATCACTACTATCATTATTTATTTCATCTTTACACTTCCCTTCATACTTCCTGACTAATTTATCAAGATAACTATTAAGCTTCATAGCTTCTCTTACATGTCTCACTTCCTGTCTTAGATTTCCCTTTATACTACTTAGTTTTTGTGCTCCATTAACTAAACATTTCACCAATATTATTTTTACTGACATAGGATGGGCTGATCAGAAGTCCAAATATGTGTTTGAATGTATGGATTTCCTGTAAACACTACTGTTTAACTATAAAATTCAAGTTTCATAGGCGAGTGATCACAATTGATATGATTATGAACAATAAATTTTGTTCGACACTTTGTCATCCAGTAAATAATACTGTTACTTTGTGTGATATATCTAATAAGCATTTTTAAACATTGTTCTTTACTTTTTGCCATTTAGATTCTTGATCATAAGTAATTACACTAACAGATTACGTCATATATCAGAGTCAATGGACAGAAATATTTGTCTGACTATATATAATAATAAATCGAGAAATGAGTTAAAGCGGAAGATTAATCATCATTGAAGAGTATTCTACAACATATATATTTAATCTTCATGCTGACTGAAAGATGGCCGGCTAGGAAGAATAAGAACGAAGGGAACTCTGTCAATGAACCAATCGAGAACCCTCTAACCCTACAAAAATGCAGAACGAGATGAAGATAGATTGAATATATGCTAAAGAAATCATTGTGTGACCTCTTTATCTGACAGGCAATCGGGTAGGATCATAATGGAGTTGTGCGTGATTTCGAGGAAAACACGGATGAGGTGATGAAAAGTAGAATAAACCAAGTAATTATAACTCTAAGCAGTACATTAGAAAACCTAAATAATGAAATAAAACAGATAGAAGTAGCGTTAGTGTTAAATAAATATCCCTTAAAATCTGTAAGGAAATCTCAAAGAAGCTCAGAAGAAAAGGAAATAAAATAGTGAAGAAACTATTAACCATAACGTAAATAGGGAAGAATTTAGCGTATCTACAGTATAACCAAATAACGGACACCTTAAACCCTATGTATGATTCGTAGTAAAGCAGGAATTAAAGCGTCATTAAAACCTGCAAACTTACTCAGGGACAAGCTCTGTTGACCAAAGGACCCTATTTAGTCAATTATACAAAATAATGTAACCTACTCTATTGATGTGATTATGAAACTTGGTCGCTGTGGTAGAGTATAACTCCATTATAGATAAGATTTTATTTTGATATGTCACACAGTGCTGTTATACATTAATATTAATTGATGACCATGTTTCGAGCACAACTGATTACCGCTCATAATCACATCAAGTCAATACTCACACAACTTTTTACTTCATTTATATACATCAGTGAAATTGATGATTAGATATTGGAATAAAAATCAATATGTGATAATGTACATTTAGAATAATAATAATAATAATATGAGTGTTACCAATCAAATACAATCAGATGGGAAATAAGACGAGTGTTTGTATAGTCATAATAAGCTACTTGTTAGAATGTTGTGATATCTTTGAATTGAAATAGAATTTTGAGATTATTTATTATCCTCCTCTGATTTGACTGACTGGTGGTAATAATATCTTCCATGCATATCTCTGGTATTTGCGTTGAGTCATTTCTGTTGAATGTGTTCCATTGGGTGTAGACTAGATGAACCAGGCAGGATTCAGTAATCAGTCTCTCTATCCACCTACATAGATTACTTCTTAGAATTCTAACCCTCTCCCACCATGCTATTGTGTGGTTGTGTGCTAATGTATGCAAAACAATTGATGAGTTTTTTTCTAAATTACTCATCTTCTCGGGGTCAACCATTCTTGCCTTAGCTAAATTCTTATATTCCGACAATCTGATTATCTCCGACCTACTAGTTTGGCCTATGTAGTTGACCTCACAGTCATTGCAGGGCATTTTGTAAATTATATTATTTTTTTAATTGCGTCAACCATCAGGGTTCTTCAGTGCACAGAGCTTGTCCTATCTGAGTGAGTTTGTAGGTTTGAATGCCACCACCCTAATTCCTGCTTTATTAGGAATCCTACATGGGGAAAGTCTCAGATGTCCCCTCCTTATATGGTATTACAGTAGATGACTTATATTCTCTATTATTTATGCTATCATTATTAGTTTCCTCTTTATTTTTGTTTTGCTTTTGACCTTTTCTGATATTCATTATGAATGTTATAGCATAGTTAGTTATTTAACACCAACGCTTCTTCTATCTGTTTTATTTCATTATTTAGGTCTTTTTTTGTGCTACTTAGTGCTACTGCTCGGTCTGTTAAACTCTCAATTAAGCCTACCTTAATAACAGTAATCTACGCTATACCTTATAATGACTGTGGGGCCAAATACATAGGGCACACCAATAGACCGAGGATAATCAAATTATCGGAACATAAGAATTTAGCTGAATATATAGAATGATTGACCACACGAAGATGAGTAGTTTTGAGAAAAACTCTCCAAATGCAATAACCGCTTTAATAGGATCTGTATAGCTACAGTTGCACAAATTATACAGACACGTAGAGGGACAGCTTGACTGCTGAATCTTTGTTCATTGAATCTACAATAAGAATGACGCTAAGTCAACACCAGAGATGTGGAAAATACTATTGCTGATGAAATCCAAAGATGAGAAGTTATGCAAGTGCACAAATATGATTATTAACAGTATTCACTTTTTTACTAAATGACATTATTCTATGAAACATTCTGAAGACTTTCTACCCTCCCTTGATCAGTGTGATGTGAACAGACTACTTCATCTGATTACTCACATTTCGTGTTTTTTTTTTAAATTGCCATCGGGAAATTTAATTTTCACTAATATCGAATCTCTTCTTCTTTATTTGTATTACATACACAATTGGCTGCTGTCAATCAGATGGACTATGGGATGTTGATAATCCAGTACAAGTGAAGCTACAACCAGGCTCAAATGAACCGGTTATTGTAAAGCGTATGTTAGCTGTAGCTGGCAAAATATGGTGTGCTGCACATCGTTCAATATTCATTTTAAATCCAACAACACTGAATTCAGAGGTGAGTGAATTCACATGTTATACTACGTAGAGTATCTTTCTACGAATATACACGTATGAAATGTTTTCGTAAAAGTAAATTATAAGGGTGATTTTTTTTGAAGGTGTACTCTAAAATCACCAATATTTTTAAGGATACACTTTCAAAAGCTTCTAAACCAGCAGGGTGCAGCGGGTCAGGTGTGAGAAGCAATACTTGCCTCCAATGACATTGGCTAGCGGTTGCGCTATGCCGTGAATTGGCACACGTTGGAATTCATGCACTTATCATTGGATCGGGGTCCAGTTGCTTAATGGTCTACGGGCTAGCTCGCTGGTCTTGTAACCAGAAGGTCCTCGATTTGAACCTCCTGCGGAGGTGTGTACTGTGAAGAGTCCCAAACTAGGACGGAGGAAACAGCTGTCTGTTGGTACTTCCAGGTTTTCGAATCGTTGTCTAACCAATGTCAGCTCATGATGAAATACTGTAACGAGTCTATTTTTTATTCCTTTACGTCTTCAGTGGGATATAGAGCTTCAAGCTGGAGCTTTAAAGTTTCGGTAACAGTGGAATCTATTTTTACGGGTTTGGGTTGCTAGCCTCATGAGAAACAATACTATTTCTCACCATGAAATAACATCGGTTAAAGAATCATTTGAAAACTTGGGTGTACCACCAGACAGCTTTTTCGTTCTAGTTTCGGTCTCTTCATCAATACACACTCACTGGGCCGTCGAACCTGGGGCCTTCTAGATAGCTCATAGACTGTTGAGTCACTGGGATCCAATCCAATGGTCAGTCCATGAACTCCAACCCCCGCCAATTCACGTTATGGCATGATCACCAGCGAATGTCATCGATGAGCATCTGTCCTATCACAGCATTCACCATAAAGAATCAAGGTTCGGAGTTTCATTACTAATGTGTAATCAGCTCTTCTGTATGTTTCATAGACTTAACTCGTCACCAAAATTATTTCGAACAGGCTACTACAACCTTTGATCAATACCTATCCTTTCTCCATACTGAATATCAGGTGGTCTGTAATGGAGGGGTAAGCAATAAGAAACTCTGGAAATGGATCAACCAAGAAGTCAAAGTCCAACGAATAAGCAAGGCGAATTAGAAATGGACTGGACACATTCTGAGAAGAACGTCTCTGAAGTTGAATTTTAATATGAATCAACGAGTTAGGGGTGCTTTAGAGAGTGACATGGACGAGACCATGTGAGGAGAAGATGAGAGCTTATGGACAATAGAGACGCCAACGAAATAGGACTGCAGGGGACAGGATGAAGTGGAGAAGTGCTGCTGAAGCACTTTGTCCTACTCGAAACCTAAGTGAATAATAACAATATATGTATACAAGCATCTGCACAAGAAGCCAACAGACATGTCAACCTGAGACCGAGCACTTCGGTCCAATCAATCGACGGGAAAATCTAAAATTCAATTAAATAATTACTATGACCCGTTGTACAAGAGGTGGCGCTCTGAAGTCTGAAACTATGGGCACTGGTTTCAAGCCTCAGCGTGGACATCATCACTCACTGGGGAATGCAGGTACATCCAGATGATGAGTCCTAAATAGGACAAGCGAAATGCGCATCCTGAATTCCACTGCTAGTCACCATCCACCAATTAAATTATATACATGCAAACCCCTGAATATCGATAAATTTAAACTCCGTAAACTTTTCAATGGTAATATTAACTCTGTGCTAGTTGATGACAGCCAATTTTTGTTCATTCATGAAAGTCAAAAATGTTCGACATGGATTCCAGTTATCTGCGTGATGTCATTATAATAATAATGATAATAATTCTTCCTTCACGTTCCCAGTGGAACATAGGGCTCCAAGCTAGTGGCTTGAAGTTTCTGTAGCAGCGTTTAATTTTTAGAGGATGGGGTTGCTAGCCTCATGCCCAACCTTTCCTCTTTACCAGGATTATTTCTGGCTCAGTGAGGTAAAGGAGTGCGCCGGCCGGGGGTCGAACCCCGGACCATGTGCATGGTCGGCAAACGTCCTAACCGCTATACCACCGACGCACTGTGATGTCACTATGCATTTTGCAAACTGCAGCAATAGTATATTTGTGAATAACCATAACATCTTGTTGCGTAACCTTATAGACGTTCAAAAATCTTCAAAAAATAGCTGATCAATAGTAACCATCTGTAAAAAGGGGAACTCTTCGGGAATTATTGAATTGAAATGTCTAATGTATTTACATTAAATTTTTGCTTTTATAGGATTATATAACCCTCTTTCTATTATTTTCCCCTCATTCTTTCCATATTCACAAACTTTAGCTTACATTTCCATTGAATGGTAATTATGCTGATCCAAGAGGAATTCAACTGATGGCTTATGGAAAACAAACTGTATGGTTAGCTACAGAAAATAGTTCACGTATTAGTTTATATCATGCAACCAGTGGAGAATTTCTAATGGAAATTGATCTGAAACCTGTTGTACTTGAAAGATTACAAGGTATAACCCTTACTTTTTCATTTTTTTTTCTTTTCTTTTGTAGTACATTATACTAATACCAGATAAAGGAAAGTTTTAGTTTGATATAATACTACTTTGTTATTGTACATTGCGTTCAGGGTGATCAAGAATGCTCTGACTCCAGGTGGAGACTCATCATTGCACCTCGGTGGGTTGAAACTCCTGACGGACCCTAATCGGGTGACCTCGGACGTGTAGTTTTTGTCAGTGAGGAGGCCTCACGGTCCCCACTTTGTGAAAATTGTGCGCGTCAGTGGCACAGCGGTTAGGACTCTCACCGACCATGCACATGGTCCGGAGTTCGACCCCTTACGGACGCGCACCTGATATCTACGGTCGGCCCGAAAACTTTGGGTAACCGATACCACATGCTGAAAATTCCATAACAGTACCGAAATAGTGTGTAGTTTCAAGCTATAATCAAAATAAAATTATATGAGTGTAAGTCATTGGCGGTTTATTCGTCGAATATTCAACCCCCCCCTACACACACACGCACAGACACACATGTAGTCTGGGTTCGATTCTCGACTATCGTCGCACTTCAATACCTCACCTAGTCTACTAGCTGATAGTCAACCTGGAGAAAGGGGAAAGGTAGGGTGTGAGGCTAGCAACCTCAATCTGTGCATAAAACAACACCTCCCCTACTCAAACTACTCAAGTTTGAAAGCTTAAAGCTCTATTGTGGTGAGAGCTGTCTGCTAGGCAAAATTTTAGACATTAGTTTACGTCAATGTTTATATCCTGAATCGAGGTTGTAAGAGAAAACAATAACAAAGCCCAACTTTGAGGAACTCACCAACCAATCACAGCAGACTTAAAGCGTGCAAATCCTACTCGCAGATATATGGCTTAACTTTCTGTGAAACTGTCACAAGCAGTACAGAATAACCTTCAACAAGAAACTGACCAATCAGGAGGCGTTGCTTCTCCGGTGACAATAATATACATAAAAATCTATAAATATCTGTTGGTTTTCTCAATAAACGATCTGTTGCCTGGCCTTTGTCTTCTATGGGTACACTATGTTCTACTGAGAATACAAAGGAATGAAACGGCTGATTAATTGAGTCTCCACATAGAACTCTACACAGAAGTGCAATAGCTCAAAGTACCACATTCCACTTAGCATACAAAAGTAGATGTAAAAAGTAATTAAAATGGGTTGAGAAGTTCTAATGTCAGTAGAAATGTGAGGAAGAAAGAACCATTTCGTGGAGAACAATATGGGTTTAATAGATACAGGTGATCAAAAAGAGTACGTACTTCTGAACCATATCACCTTCAGTATCCAGCTATTTGTTCTTAGCATCTCCAGGACGGAATCCAGTCAGTCTACACCGTCATATGTGACTGGCTCAAACAAACCGTCAAAGATAACATGTACTGATTCCATGTTTTGGTTTGACCACCACCTCAAAATTCTTTTCAACCTAATCCTACGCCAACTGAAATTGCCCATTGAGGGAGGAAGTTTACTAGTATCTGAGTGATTTAGTCTTACTTTCGTTGACAGAATTCTAAATTTGCTGTTATATGTTTAAGGAGTCTATTTGTGCCACACGGTGAAGTACACTTCTTTTTGTTCCCAGAATTGTTTATTTGGTAAAATGATGTGTACAGTGATGGTATAATGTAGAAAACCTTCCATTGAAACTTCAGCCTGCATAGATTATTTGTATTCTACCTTTTCTCTCCTTATTTAATTTTTTCTGTATTATTTCCTAGTGGTCTTTATCCCTCATCTTTACAACACAATCCGAAGCTCCACTAAGCACACTTCTTGCCGAAAATATCATCAGTACACTACTTATAAATTCCTTTCAGTAGTACATCCCAAACATGCAAAAACAACTGAGTGAAACAAATCACAATCTTCTATGTTAGCAAAGAATTTATATACATATATACATCATGGAAAATTCCCATTGCAACATAGAGAAAACCATAGAAAATATTGTAACAACAGAAGACAAGGGCCAGGCAATAGATCGTTTTATTACGGAAATCAATACGTATTTATATAAATTTCACATACATTATTATAGCCTAGTCAAGTAGACAAACGCAGTCTTCTGATTGGTTGTTTTCGAGTTCCTCGGAAAGTGGAGCCATCTATCTGCGAATCATATTTGCCCACGTTTAAATTTGCTGTAATTGGTTGTTGAAACAGCCTTGTTCATATTTGCTCACGGCCCATATTAGTGACCTAGACATTGACGTAGATTAATGTCAACCAATTGGCTAGCAGGCTGCTCTCACCACAATATGATAGAGGATTACCATACTTTAGCTTAGAGGGATTAAGACCATGAAAGTTGAAGGGGTTGAACGAACCTTTTCTGTACACAGACATCTGGCTTTTCTGTTTCGATAGCCAAAGCTTCGGCAATACCGATGAGTCGGGCACGTAGGGATTTGGGTAAATTACTCTTTACCTTGCAGATGACTTCAAAGGCGGAGGCTATAGAGATAGGGTGATCATTATCGACCAGATGTTCAATGATCGCGCTTCTTATTGCTCCACTTCCACCTCTTTGTAACCATGCAGGACAATGTTCTTGCACCCTCTTGGACAAAACTCGGTAGAACGACCGATATGCCTAGCTCGACACGAGCAAGTGAATTGATAAACACACATAGAGTTGGTCAACAGCGGTATCTTGTCCTTCAGGTTACTGAACAGTAATGGTCTACTAGTAAAGGCTATTCTCAGAGATGCAGCAGGGAATGTTCTTTTCAGGAACTGTGACATCCTTCGTTTCATGATATCGGAAGCTAAGTCCGCTTTGAATTTCAAGCTCATGTAAAGTATTCTCTTGAGTACGGATGATAAGTCACGTTTTATAGGATTTGAACGTATATTCTTATCTATAAAACGTGGTGGAAATCCATTTTCTATTAGGAATTTCCTCAAAACGTATAACTCATGTTCCACAGTATCAGGGCAACATATGCGCCGAATGTGAGTGGCAAGCGACCGGATCAGGTTTCGTTTTCTACCAGTGGGTAGCCAGCTGTAGAAATTTGTCAGTTAACCATTCCATGACAGCTTTCGATAAATCGATCTCTTCAGAATTTCATCGGTCCTCATTGATAAGTTTACATCGAGGAAATGAATGCTAGACTAGTTATCCGTTTTGAGAGTAAATTTTATCGTAGGATGGCAACCATTAAATGCACTTAATATGTAATTCAAATTACAATCACTATTACAAATAATAAAGGCGTCATCTACATACCTATTATACATTTGAAATCTTTGGATTATATATATATATATCCGTTATAAAACGTCTATGGTAGATTATTCTGAAGAAATGTTTCAATTTCGGCTGTAAATAAATAAGTTTGTCGTCAGAAGCCGTTACAACTCTATTTGACTGTTTTCTAAACGTTCATTCAAATAATTTCTTACAGCTTACCTGTAATATTTTGGTAAAAAATCATACCTACCAGACCCTCATGGTAATATCCGCATAGGAAACAATAAGAATGATATGAAGGAGGTCGTTTGAAGAGGCTTATAACTGATCATGGTGCTAGTTAAGAAGGATTACAGAAAACAAACAGAGTGACATGAAAATGTGTCAATGAAGCCCTATATTTCACTGAGAAGAACTCAAAGAAATAATAATAATCAAATAGTAAAATACCTAAAGTAATCTAAGTAGTCTGTTTTGACTGGACACTAGTAACTACTGCGATGTGTTTAGTCCTCTCTTTGGTGCAGACTGAATTCTATCAGTCAGGTTTGTAATGTGGCCATCATTCTAGGTAGCTCACCATCACAGTACACATTGATTTGACGATACTAGATAGTTGAAGACAATCGTCAGAAAGCATTGAATCTAGGTTTCGTGCCAGTTGGCACTCGCCAATGAGAAAGACGTATCTGCAAAATTGAAGGAACTCAGAAGGGACATGAGCTCCTTCAAGTTGGTTCCAGATACGCCTTGTTGACGAGTAATGATAACTAGCACGAAACCTATGTTGAAGGCTTCCTGTGGCCGATCGCCTCCAACCATTTAATAAGTAGTATATTTACAGAAGACATATGCATTAACATATTTGTCTAATGTGATAAATATAACAATCTGAAAGACACTGTGGTTTTTTTCACTCCATCCTCATGAGTTACGCCAGAAAAACAATCAGAGTCAGGCTTTCCTATTCTTGATGTATTTCTGATTCGGTGTAGAAATGGATTTTTTTAAAACATCTATCCATTAAAAATGTACATGAGACAGACAAATAATGAGCTTGTATTGCTGAGTACAGTTCTCTGCTAAAAGAAACCTTATCTATCCCTTGTAGATGCACTGACAAATGCCTTTCTTCCCTAAGAGTTACGCTTATTGAAAATGGTTTCCCCCACCCACCCCCCCTGTTTTCTTGCGAAGACCAGAAAACAATGATGATGAGCTGGTCACTAATCCAGTTCAAAAAAAACAACAGGATGTGCTGAAATTGCTGGATAATCCCTACAAAAATGAGATTCAAGCCAGTCTTTACTCAGGGGATATTCTGACATAGATCAAATCGCCCACTAATCGATAAAGATTAAGCTACTTTAAAAGTAGATCAACCCCAAAACGGTAACCAATCACATTTTGGATTATCAAGAGAAGCAGTTACATCACTCATGAAGAATTCCAAAGAACTTGCCCCACAACAAAATGAAGATATTGTCTAGAAGAACAATGAAAGTTTCGTAGTCTAATTATCTGACTGAGAGAACTCAACCGGCTTCATCAATCTTGATTTTGGAGGCGCTCAGCTTCTAATTATGATCATAAACCATCTTTCTGAATAGGTAAATAAGACATTGCAAGCTTGACTGACAGAATTCAGTCTCCACAGTTTGTCAGTTTGTCACCGTTGTGAAATCGATTAGAAAATATTGTAAAACGGGAGACAATAGTGGTGATTAATCATAATAGATTTGTAGAGTGTGGGGTAGGAAAACTGACATA